GGAGGAGATTTGAAGAATTTGACGAGCTGCGTCAGCGAACTTTCACTTCGATCTGTAAATGGCTGAGAGAACACGGGCATGACCCGACAACAATCTGGGATGAGATACAAAAGTGAGTAGTGAAGGAGCAGGAGGAGCAGGAGGAGCAGGAGGAGCAGGAGGAGCAGAGGAGGTGTTGCAGGAGGAGGAGGAGGAGGAGGAGGAGGAGGAGGAGGAGGAGGGGAGGCGAAGGAGGTAGGGGAGAGTTGCGAGGATGTAGAACTGACAACTTGTGCCTAACAGCAAGTGCGAGAGGAGGAGAGCGAAATGACGGTCTGGGACAAGTACCAGAAGAAGAGGGTGAGGGAGAACGGGAGAGGACGTTCAACGTTTCTCAATGGTTGCAGGCTGAGAAGAAGAAGGAGAAGAGGATGAAAAAGGGTGAGAAGGGTGAGCTGTCAGAGGGAGGAGGAGCATGAGGCTCAAGAGCTGAGGAGCAGGAGACGAGGAGGAGAAGCTTGACGAGAGCGAGCTGCCTGCTGGATCGGAGTTTGTCGATGACAGCGTGTTCGAGAACGATCCATTCTTCCAGATCCCTGACGAGGAGGAGGAGGAGGATAGAGGGATGTGGAAGAGAGGGAAGGTCAGCTCCACAATCTTTTTATGTTTGACTTCCTCCTCCTCCTCCTCCTTCAGCTTATCCTTATCCTTATCCTGATCCTCCTGCTTCTGCTTGGCTGCTGCTCACTCGCTCGCCTTTGTTCTCTTTCTCCTTTTCTCTTCTCCTTCCTGACTCTGCTCAAGGGCAACAAGGGCAAGGGCAAGAATCCTCAGAAGCAGATGGAACAGGTGCGTTTGTCAAGTCAGCGGAATCGCCACGGGAGGCTGAGAGCTTCGCAGGAGGAGGAGGAGGAGAGGAAAGCGAGGGAGAGGCAGCAGCTCGAGCTCCTCATGATGGATGACGCTAACGAGGGAAAGCGAGGATACAGCATCAAGCACAGCGCTCTTGGCCGGTGCCCCTCCTCTTGGATCGCACGCCCTCCATCCTGACCCGCCTGCCAACCTCCAGGGCATCGCAGCTTGCTGGGGAGGAGGTGACCAAGAAGAAGAAGAAGAAGGGGAAGAAGAAGGGGGAGAAGGAGGAGGGAGAGGGAGAGAGGGAAGACAGCTTCAAGCTTGATCTCAACGATCCTCGCTTCGCGTCCGTGTACAGGTAAGACGAGTAAGTCGGTCTTATCCCGCACGTGCTGACACTGCTGATAGCGACCCCAAGTTTGCTCTTGACCCCACGGACCCTCAGGTGCTCGAACTCTCCTCTACCTCCTCCTCTACCTCCTCCTCTACCTCCTCCTCTGCCTCCTCCCCTTCTCCTGCCATCCCGCCCTCCTGCCCTCCTGCCCTCCTGCCCTCCTGCCCTCCTGCCCTCTCGCTCCCAACCCATGACTGATGGTAACCGTTCGCTGTCAGTTCCGCAAGACCCCCGGGCTGTCCAAGTTGATGAAGGAGGGGCAGGACAGGAGGAGCAAGAGAAATCACGCTGAAGTAGCCTGTCTCCTCCTCCCTTCCCCGTCGTTGACGCCACTTGCAGACGGAGGGTCACGCGAACGGAAAGGCCGGCCAGCAGCACCAGCAGCAGCAGCAGCAGCAGCAGCAGAAAAGGTCGAGGCTGGATCCCAGCATCTCCTCTCTCGTTTCTACCCTCAAGTCTCGAGGAAAGAAGGCGTGAAGGGACAACACAAGACGAATCAATGAAGTTTTTCACTCTCACAGCTGATTTCCCTCTATCTTCCCGCCCCCTCTCCCCTTTTGCTCTCCTTGCTTCCTCCTACCTCCCTGCCATCAACAACTCTTCCCCTTCTCTTCTGCCCCTGTCCTCCTCCTTCTCCCTCTGCTCATCTTCCGCTCCTTGCTTGCCATCTCTCATCAATTCCTTGTACAGACAATCTCTTGCTTCACTTCTCTTCTTCTCCCTCCCTCCCTTCCTCCCTTCCTCCCTCCCTCCCTCCCTGACTCTATGATCCTCCTCCTTCCTCCTGGTCCTCCTCTCCCTCTTCCCACTCCTTCTCTTCCTCACTGAGCTGCTCCTTCAGATGGGTCAGTCTGACGAGGAGTCTGACTCGAAATCTCACCTCCCCAAGAGCGTCCAGGACTCCTACTTGAGCTCTGCAGTCGAGAATGCGCAGAAGTTGGAATCGAAAGTTAGCGTGTCGCTCGCCAAGCAAGGGGACCCGACGGCACAGGCATGAGACTGGCTGTCAGTGTTTGCAATGAAGAGAGAAGTGCGATAGTAACACTCCAAAGTGGAGGGAAGCGTGATGGTGGAGAGATGAAGATGCTTATGATGGTGTACATGGTGAAATGATTATGATAATGATGGAGAGCTAAAGTTGATGATAATGACTGTGGTGATTATGTGACTGAGGACGATGACGATAGGGATAGCCATAGTCATGGTCCTGGTCCTTGTTTTGACGATCGTCTCAGTTCAACCTTGCGGCTCAACTCATGAAGCTCGCTTTCGAGAGGCGAGCAGGTCCGGTACTCCAGCAGAAGCGCATGAGCAGAGCGATCATGTGGCTGACCCGGGCAGCCAAGAAGGGTCATGCGAAGGCACAGTACAACCTGGCAGTCTGCATGCTGAAGGGAACAGGTGAAGGGAGGAAGGGAGGGAGGATGGAGATTCATGAAGCTTGCACCAGGAATGGAGGCGGATGAAGAGGGAGGGATGCGGATGCTTCGAAGGGCAGCGGACAACAACAGTGCCCAGGCTCAGTTTCAGCTGGCTGCCATGTTGGAGGAAGCGCTGAGAGCAGGAGCCAAGGATAAGGAGAAGGCTGAGGAAATTCGGAGTCTGCTGGCCCGGTCGGCCGGTCTGGGGCTCGTAGAAGCGCAGATGAGACTGGCAAGATGCTTCAAGGATGGTCTCTACGGGCTCCAGGTGAACTTTGGAGCGTATGTTCGCTGGATGGAGAAAGCCGCAGCCCAGGTCTTGACATCTCGAGTTCCCTCCCTCTCTCCTTCCCTCTCTCTTCCTCCCTCCCTCTCTCCCTCTCTCCCTCTCTCCCTCTCTCCCTTCCTTCTTGACCCGTGAAGTGTGTAGGGAGCATGCGAGGCAAATGTGGAGCTAGGAAAGCTGTACATGTCAGGAAGCAGACACTTTGACAAGGACCGCTACCGGTCTTTCGACTACTACCGAGCTGCTGCAAAGCAGGTGAGGTAGTGAAATCGAGCTGGCGGATTGTGACCTCTCGGCAGCACGACGCTGAAGCTGAGCTTGCGATGGCGACCCTGATCTTGGACTACAACGTGACCAACGGCAGGGAGGTTGAGGACAAGAGGGAGGCTCTCAAGACGGGGGTCGTCGATGCGTACAGGATGCAGGAGGTGGAGCAAGAGATTGCCCAGAGTGTGGTGAGGAAAGTTGATGTCTGCCCAGCAAATCAATAACAAATCTGCACGCAGCTCTCTGTCGATGACGGGATAAAATTCCTTGAGAGGTCCGCACAGAAGGGAAACGTAAACGCCAGCTTCAAGCTTGCCAAGGTCCTCTTCGACAACGATGTAGAGGACAAGGTTACCAGCACCCTGCCCGCCTGTTGCTGTTTGACGCTCCTACCAGGCATCTCGTCGGATGATGTTGAAATGGTTCAAGCAGTCGGCTGAAGGAGGGGAACCGCGAGCTTGGCTCCACCTGGCGAAGATCTACAGGGAGAAGGAGAAGCTGGGGAGAGCGAGGAAGTGCCTGAGGGAAGGAGCTCGCTGCAATGACGTTGAAAGCATAGCGGAGTATGGGACGATGCTTGTCAACGGGGAAGGAGGGCCGAGGAAGAAGAAGACAGGCATCGTGCTGCTAAAGAGAGCAGCACTTCGAGGGAACGGAGCAGCAGCCCACATGCTCGGAATCCTCTGCGAGCGAGGGGAAGAAGATAAGGGCAAGATCAAGTACATCAAGTGAGACCTCTCCACTTGTTTCCTTCTAGATTTCCCGGCTCTGATCCTCCTCCTTCTCCTCCTTCTCCTCCTCCTCCTCCTCCTTCTCCTCCTCCTCCTCCTCCTCCTCCTCCTCCTCTCCTCCTCTCTTTCCTCTCCTCCTCCTACAGGTGGCTAACGCGGGCGAGCGAGCTGGGTCATGTGCCCTCGAAGCTGCTTCTTGCCCACGAGTACCTCAACGGCTCCTCTACTCTCAAGAGGGATGAGCTAGGAGCCGCAAAGTTGATCATGGAGGCCGACAAGCTCGGCTCTTCCTCGGCCCTGTCCTCCTCGCTGTCCTCCTCCCTCTCTGCTGGAGACTACTTCCTGTGCGCCGAGATCCTCGCCAAGAGAAGTTTCGCCTCCTCCAACTGGACCGACGCCCTGGAGTGGTACCACCGGGCAGGAGTGAAGGGTGAGGACTTGGCGTTCGTTCGAGCTGGACTCCTGGTGGCCATGAAGCTCAACGAGGCGTCTCCCAGCATCCAGCAGGCTCAGCAGCTCCTCCTCAACGTCACAAGGGAGGAGGAGGCGAGAGAGGCGGAGGCGCTGCTGGGCTGGATGCACCTCAAATTCCACAGCATCCGAGACCCGACGAAAGCCCTGGAGCTCCTCCGCAGCTCCTCCTCCTCCCCTCATGCAGGCGCTCTCTTTCTCCTTGCCTGCTGCCACCTCCGGGGCGCCGGGGTGCCGACGGACGAGGAGGAGGCGGCGAAGCTGCTGCAGCAAGCCCTCAAGAGCTGGTCCGCCTCGTCGAGGAGGAGATCGTTCAGCCACTCCCTCTGGCGCCTCTGTGACATCCAGTTCACCCTCGGGCAGATGTATCTCCAGGGATGCGGAGACGTCCAGCAGGACGTCAGCAGGGGGCTGAAGCTGGTGAAGCAGGCGTCGGAGCAGAAGCATGCGGAGGCCACGAAGCTGCTCGCTGACTGTTACCTGATGGGCCGAGGGTGCAGGAGGGACGACAACAAGGCTGCGAGCCTGCGAGCGCAGGCGACGAAGGAGGAGAAGGAGACAGAGAGCGATCATATGAGCTTCTTGAAGCGTATGTGAAGGAGAAGGGGATTATGCATGCAGCAAGTCTTCATCCTCCTCGGAAGAACTTCATTCCCCTTGCTGCGAGAGCCACGACGATGCGACACTCGCCCTTGTCCTCCCAGGCTCTCTCCGTCGCTTCCTCCAGCATCTCCGGGGGGAGGCAGAAGATGTCGCCGAGAGGCAGCCCGAGGTCATCTTCGAAGATCTGAGATGCCTATCAGTTTCCCCTCGTGCCCCTCCCCGTGCTCACGGTGCCGAACTCCTCTTGACCGGGGAAGACGAGGTTGTCCTGTAGGAAGGAGCCTGCGCGAGGGGAATCAGCCGAGACCAGTGAAGGCTCACTAGAGACGAGACCAAATCTTGTGTTCAGCATGAACAGCTTCAGATCCAACCTCCCACTGTGGCTGGGCCCGAGCAGCGCAAGCCTACCATGCAAGCACAATCAGCGAAACTTTCTGTCCTGCTAGCAGAGTCACTCACACGTTCCGACGGCTCGCATCGATGTCTCTGACATCACTTCCCTGCCTTTACTCGTCACTGGCAGCTCGCTTGCCAGCTCCACCTCGCCTCTTGGCAGAAGCCCAGCTGGTAAGGGAAACGCTCCTGGTCGAACTTGGGGTATTCGCGCAAGTGGAACAGCAGCCCTAGGAGCTTGTGCTCGACAGACCAGAACATGTGGGCATGATGCAGGTCGTGCTGTCAACAAGAGTCACTGTGCGCCATCCCGTCCGCTGCTCTTGCATCCCTACCTGGCTCACCTCTGCCGAGGTTCCTGCGTCCCGACAGACATCCCTCACCTGCCCCCCGCAGCACTCAGCCTCCTCCTCGTTCCTCGCGCGCTCCTCACCCTCTCAAACATCTCGAGAAAGCTTGTCTCGATCGCAGCGGAAGAGAATCGATGAACAACCTCTCGCCCACAGAGCATGCACCGGTTGCCGGGCCCCATGCCACCCACCATCAGCACCTTGGAGGAGAGGAATCCTCCCAGCACACGAGTGCCCAAGTTCTTGGAGGCCTCAGGCATGTTGAGTTCTGTGATTCGCTGCTCTACCGACTGATAGAAATGCCTCAGCGTCGCTCCCTCATGAGGAAGAACGCTGACGCTGCCGGTGGTCAACAACTTGGGTGCCATCTCCCTATCATGAAACAGTTGCAACAAGCACCATGATCCGATTCTCTTCCGGGTTTCACTGTCAAGTTTGTGGCACATGTTTGCTCTCCACCTCGCCCTGCCCTTCATCTCACGGGTTGCACATCCCGTGCGGATCGACAGTGACAGCCACGCTGGGTATCGAGGCATTGGCAGGAATGCAGGCGAGCTTCCGCGAACCAAGTGAAGAGAGCTGACGAGAGACAGGAGGAAGAGCCGGTCAAATCCTCTCAACGACTGGATCAAGCGATTCATGCCCAGCATTGTCCTGGGCATGTTCGCCCTCCTTCGTGCTGTTTCACGCCATGATAGCAGTTCCGTCCATCGGGGGCAGCGACCGGGGCGGGGGGCACCCTGATTACTCGGGCCCGGCGAAGGCGTAGAACGTTAATGTTTATGTTTCTGTTTTGAAATTTACTAGAAAAGTTTCAACTTTATATCAATAACTTGAAGTTACATTCATAAAGTTTCCGAGAACTGTACAATGAACTTCGATTGCTCAAAGTTCTGATTTCACTTTACTGTGCATGGGGTGGGGGGTAGTCATACCCTTTGACTACCCCCAATTATGCCTTTGCCACACTCAAAAGCGGTAAGGTAGGGTCCAAAAATAGTTTGTTCGGAGGAAGGGTAGGGTTGCCTGGCCCTCATCTACATCATAGGGGGGTGGTTTCATACGAATATTGCAGTATCATAGAGGGGTGGGGTAGAGTTAGCCGAGGCAGGGTGGGTGATCGCCTAGGAAGTTTCAGTCAACGTGTCGCACGGGGTGGCTGGGGGGACGAGAAAACATGGCTGATGGCGCGGGGAGAGGAGGAGGACGAGGTAGGCATGCACAGAGGTGTCCTCCTCCACCACCACTTCGATGCTCTGGCCTGCCCGTGCACCGACTTGTCTGACTTCTCGACGTGTTGTTGTGTGTGTTCTGCCTCCTGCTGCTCGTAAGCCAACACTGCCACTTCTCTCCCACCCCCTTGCTCCCATCTGCCGACCTTGTTCACCCTCTCAACACTGCACATACTTGTGCATGCTATCAATGCTCCCCATTTTTGGTGTCCCTCTTCGCTGTAGTACTTCTTGAGCCATGAGATGTCTGCGTCTCCTGTTCTTCAGCTCGCACCATGCTGTGCTCAGCAGTGTGCATTCCTCATCCCCTCCTGGGCGTTCTCCTTCTGCGAGCTCCCTAATCTAGTTGCTCCTTCCTGTGTCCTTTCTTGTGGGACATTCATTCTGCTCGTGTTGTTCCTTTGCGCTCTTTGTGCTTTTTCTCGAGCATTTTGTGCATGATTGTGTGCGAACATGCAGTGAACGTGGGATTGTCAAGGCTCATGCATCCTTTTACGCACTCAGCTTCTCACAGGATTGTTGACTTCACCTGGTAGGTCACTAGGCTGGGAGAGGATAAAGGCTGCTAATGAGACTAGCTTGTTCAGTTTTGCGGAGTTGAATTATAACAGGACCGGGAGTGTTGAGTTGTGCTGAGATATTTTGCTGCGGATGGCTGGAGCTGAAAATAGTCGTACGTGAGGGAAAGTTGTTTCTGTTGGACCTTGTCGGACATGTTTGACGGGGAGGCTGTTTCGCCGGGACATCCTTGCCTTGGGCACGGGGAGGATCGAAGGCTCCAGGGTCCATGCGCCACGAGCAAGAGGTTTATAAGGAAGAACGGACTGCGCCTGTGTGTTTCAGTAGCTCTGCTGTGTCTTTCTCTTCCTCATGCAGCATGCAACTCTCTCAGCTACTACAGGCTCCTTGGCGTTGACCAGACTGCGAGCACAGCCACCATCAAGAGAGCGTATAAGGAGCTCGCGAAGAAATATCACCCCGACAAGTTCAAAGGGCAGCCGCCAGTGAAGATGGAGGAGCTGAATCGTGCGCACGAAGTGTTAACGGATCCTGATCTGCGGAAGAAGTATGACATGTACGGGAAAGATCCTGACGATCGTGAGGTGCAGCAGCAGGAGGCGATGAAGGAGAGACAGCGATACCGACCGATGGAGGCTTTCTACATGCACTCGCAACGGAGAAATCAGCTCACGATCGAGTCTAAGACTCAGACCTTGACGATGGACAATTATGATGAGCTGGTGAACAGCCTGGGTCACGTGTGGATCATCCAAGTGTGGCTGGATCACAACTGCAACGGCTGCGTTGAGATCTCCCAGGCATGGGAAGAGGCAGCCAAGGAACTGAAAGGGAGCGTCCAGTTCGGCAGGATCAACTATGAGAGGCAGGGAGCGCTGCTATCCAGGCTGCGGATTCGTCACCTTCCAACTGTGTTCGGGGTGAACGGGGGGGAAGTAAGGATGATGCCAAACAGGCCAGGCATCCTCCCCTCTACTCAAGACTTGATCGCTTTCGCCACTGAGATGCTCCTCCTCACTGGCAAGGTAATGAAGGTGGAGAGCAGGAGTGCCTTTTCTGCATGGTTGAAGCAGGACGTGCACAAGGTCCACGCGCTTCTGATCGGCAAGGACTGGGCTCCCTTTTACAGCGTAGCTGGAGCAGAGTCTCTCAAGGACTGGGTCATTTTTGCGCACGTGCCCTTGCACTCAGTGCACATCCTACCGACGCAGTACCAGGTGCAGAGCGAAGGGTCTGTAGTGCTGGCGATCAAGGAGGACGGGTCTTTCAGGAAGAAGGAAAAGCTCTCCTCGCGCTCGGTGCTGGTTCGCTTCCTCCTCCAGCACAAGTACAACCTTGTTCCCCTTGTCAACAACGACAACTTTGCTGAGCTGTGCATGGGGCTGATGAGCTCCATGTCTGGCCTGCGGAAGATCTACAAGCCCAAGGAGCAGCACTTCGCGTGCGTCCTTTCCTTGAGCAACACGTCGGAGGGAAACCGGCGGCCAGAGCTCGAGGCCCTGAGGAAGGTAGCCTCGGACTTCAAGGCAGAAAAGGAGGGCCTCAATGTTCAGTTCGGCTGGTCCGTCCTCGTCAACTCCGACAGGCTTTGGAAATTCCTTGAGGCGTCAGTGTCGTTCCCCCCGGCCCCTCACGGTGTCATTGCCGTAATCGACTGGCACAGGGGGTGGCTCAGGGTCTTTGACAAGGGCGGCAAGGATGCAGTGGTTGAACAGGAGCTGCGCGAGTGGGTCAAGACTGTGACGAAGCAGATCCAAGAGGACAGGCAGGACATCCCTGCAATCCCTGCTCGCCGCTCTCCTTTCTCGAAGCTCATGGACGTGGGGGATGTTGTAGGGAGCAACATGACGGGAACGAATTGGAGCATTTGGATGGGGCTGCTGTTCGCCGCCCTCTCGATCCTCAACTACTTCTTGACATCTCCCAGCGAAGGGGAGAGGAGGCAGGGGAGGCAGAGCTCGAGGAGACCGACGAACTCGCGCAGTTCTGCACAGAATGAGGCGCCAGGTAGCGGCAGCAGCAGCAACAGCAGCAGCCGACACTCCAGCACCAGCAGCCAGCAGGCAGGGAGCAGCAGCGCGCAACATGGGCAAAGGGCTGTGAGTCCAGTTGTTTCTCCTTGATGTGACTGTGAGCTTGATTGAGCGGTTGAGATGCTGCTTGTCACCCTTGTGTATGATCCCCTTTTGTGGCTGGAACTACACGATTTGGCTGCTTGATCCTGTTCACCATGTTTTCTGTGCTTCTAGCTCACTCTTCTTCTGCAACAGCAGGCAGAAAGAGGGCAAGAATCGGGTTATCATGGGCCGAGGGCGGAGCAGCAGGGCGAGCAGGATAGGGCAAAGAAGGAAGCGAGCAAGCCACAGGCCAACGGCTCAAGCCAGAAAGATTTTGACATCTCCCGTCTGTCTGCAGTCCCGGTGAGGCCTCGGCCTTTCTATCTTGTCCCTGCTCCTCCTCGCCTCAATCTTGTTTTCCCTCTGTTCCTTCTGCTCCTGCACCTTCTCCTCCTCCTCCTCCTCCTCCTCCTCCTCCTCCTCCTCCTTGCTACCTCTGAAAACTGATCAGGTCACTGACCTACGGAACTTCGCGAAAGCCAAGGGTACGTCAATGCTGCTTTGCTGTGCTCCCATCCTCACATGGTGCGTGTAGGGATCGACATCTCGGACTGTTTCGAGAAGGATGAGATTGTAAATCGAATTCTAGCATCTGTGAAAGATTCAAGATAGTGATGAAAGTGATGTGCTCTACGATCTGCTCGCTACGATCTCGGGCGGAAGCATAGGACAGACCACATGCCATCCCCGTATCCTCTCTCAACCTTAAGGGCCTCCTCCTCGTCCTCGACGAAGTCCAGGTCCAACTTCGTCTCGTTGTAATTCATCAGGGTCTGGTAGCAAGCATCCTCCACAAGGTCAAAGCCGTTCCTCTGGAACACCTCCACCACCTCTGCCAGATGAACTACACATGTGCCGTCGGTGTAGAACTTGTCCTCCTTGGTCATCAGGAAGTAGTCCTTGCCCCATGCTGTCGTCTTGTCTATGAAAGCAACCAGTACGCACCCTGTTGGCGATAGCACCGCATGCACGTTCCTCACGGCCTTGTCATGGTCCTTCAGGAAGCCGAACACTGTTACGAACAAGGCGCAGTCTACCTTCTCCCCGACCTGCTGGCTGCAGCCATCCAGGTCCTCTGCAGCGCACTCCAGCAGCTGCACAGTCTGGTTGTGCTTCTTGAAGTTCTCGAGGCAAAGCTTCCTCATCCCCTCCGCCGGCTCAACGCCCAGCATCTCGTGCTCGGGGAAGCGTTTCTTGAGGTGCAGGCAGAACCTCCCTGTCCCCATCCCAACCTCCAGCACCCTCAGAGGTGACCTCTCAGGAAAGAAAGACTCCATCGCCCTCTCCACTGACGTAAACTCGGCGCCGATGATGCCGGGAAAGTACGCCTCCTCGAACCAGGTGTCGTAGCCCTGCGCGTTCTCCGAGTAGACCTTGATGCAGGCTGAGGACGGAGGGGCGTCGATACCAGTTCCTCCTCGCAGCCTCAGACTGTCAGGCACCACTGGCCCGACACTTCGACATAGGGCGAGGCAAGACAGCAGGGCTGACAGCATCAGACTGTCGGGGACGCACATCACAGTCAGTCATGCAGAGCACCAAGGTAGGGAGGAGCAGGAGGAGGAGGAGCAGGAGGTGCTGGAGGTGCATGAGCAGGAGGAGCAAGGGCATGAGAAACTAGAGCAGGATCTGACCTCGTCTTGTTCGCCATGACTGTCCTGGTTGCCTTGACGCTCCTCACTGTCCTCCTCTCCATCTCCCTCCCACCATGGCTCCGCCTCCACCACGATTGTCAGTTACAAGTTCCGATTTATGTAACGACCAGGTTCGAAGAGCCCGCGGATGGCGGGAAGTGGGGAGAACTGGGGGACGACGGAAGAGAGGGAGGGAGGAGGAGGGAGGAGACAGAGGAGGAGGAGGAGCATGCATGATGATGATGAGAGACGAGGTTGCGATGCCAGTGCCATGGGCAGCGGCGGAGGAATGCGAACATGCACAGACATGGAAGGGGCTATGGGAAAGCAATAGAGCAGGGGATTGGAATGGCTTCGTTGTGCTTGGATACACTTCAGGAGGGGAATGACCAGAGAAACATGATCTGCATGCTGAGAGTCGTTTGGTTGCGCTGCCATGGGTTGACACTTGGCGTTCTTGTAGCAGAAAATGAACTCCTACGACTTCAGCCTGGTGGAGGAGCAGGACCCGTCCGTTGGTAACATCGAACTCCCCCTCTTCCTCCTCTCATGCTGACTCTTCGCATCAGCCGAGGGCCATCGAGTTCTTTATGACCGCGAAGTTCCGTTCGAAATAAGAAATCAGACCGATCCCAACGACCCTTCACAGGAGGTACTGGCAAAGGAACCTTGTTAGCCCTTCCCCTTCCTCTGACCGTCCTTGCTCTAGCTGGGCACGCTTGAGGCCATCAAGGTGAAAATTCTGATCATGGGCGAGGAGCAGGTTAAGAGAACGACACGTTCTCCTTTGTGCACCTGCTGCAGGCTGACTGCCTCCGCAGAATCCCTTGACCCTGAGGATTGAGCTAACGAGCGAGACGGATCTATTCTTCCAGTGAGTCTCGCCCTCCTCTCCCTGTGCTGCCTGCGGGAGCTGACACCATCACATCGTCCAGCTTCAATCACAACCTGGACGAGCATGGGTTCCGACAGGTTTGGTAGCTGGAGGTTGTAGCGGCAGTGCACATGACTCTGCTACAGGTCCAGGAGCATCAAAAGCTCATGGTCGACTTCCCGGAGTATCCCAATGTGCGCTCTAGGAGGTGATTGCTGTGGGAGTGAAGCTGATGCTGGGAGCAGGTATTGATACGAATGCTGAATAATTGCATCAAAGAGCCCCACAGGTCTGCTCTTGTCCATGCTTGCTCTTTGCTGACCGTTCCCTCCCTCTCCCTCTCCCTCTCCATTTCCCCCTCTCTTTCCCTTGCTCTCTCACTCTCTCAGTCACCTGGCTGTGTTCGTGATCGAGAGGGAGGGCCTTGCCCGCCTTGATTTCATTCAGAACATGGAGTACAAGTTCGTTGAGCTCCTCTCGGTGAGCTCCCGCCCGGCCACTCCCCCTGTTTCTTCCTCCTGCCTTTCCCTCCTCCCTCCCACCTCCAGCCTCCATCCTCCGACTTCTTGTGTCCTCTGTCCCTCCTCCCGATTACCTCCCCACCCCCTCTTTCCACATCCTCTTTCCACCTCCTCCTTCCTACTTCTTTTCCCTCCCCCCCGTTCCCATCTCTGACATGCTCTCTCAGTGTAATTTTATCGCTTCGCCCGAGGACGTTATCCGTGCTCACATCTGCTTCCGCTACAACACCCTCAAGTCGAGGCTCTCCCTCGTGCAGTCAAGACTTCAGGACATCGAGTCCGTCATCAAGGTATCTGCTCGCTCGCTCCTCGGCTCCTCCCGTAACTGCGATGCGAAGGTGAAGAACCCATCTCTTCTCCTCCAGCTCAGCAAGGCCTCTACCTCCCGCTCTGGGATGAAATGAGGAAAACGCTGTTGGGGGGGTCGCTGAGAACAAGATCGTGTGTACGACTATGGTCGACTACGTCATACTGATCAAGGGCTAAAGAAACCGCTATCTAAAGGAACACTGGCTAGCAACCGACCGCTAGAGACGGGACGTCGTCTCCGCCTCTCCGGTGCTCGGGGCATCTCGAATTGATTGATTCCAAATTAACTGAACACAAAAGTGAAGCGTGAAAGCCAAGACAGGGCCCGGCTCCAGCAGCACGAGTATCGGCCTTGATGTCCAGGAGATGTCATGTCAAACTCGTCCCATGCACACTTTGATCGAATCCTGCTGCATTTTTCACCTCTGCTCTTCTCTGTTCCTGGGATGGGGTGCAGGAACTTTGTTGATGGTGCGTCCAAGTCTGAAATCCACACGATATCCGTTCCATGTCATAAGCCTACTTCACACTTCCTATCATGCTGCCAATCTTGCACTAGGGAACGATTCCTCGAACTGCTAGACGAAAGTCCTTTGCAGAGACCGTCATCGCAAACTCCGGTCGAACAGATCCTTCAAACTGGTGGATGACGTCGATCTGCTGTCTTGCATCTATTCATCTTTCTCCACATTCATATCTGTCATCCTCCTCCTTCATCCCATTTCTGCTCCTCTCCCTCCCTCCCTCCCTCCCTCCCTCCCTCTCACTGTTCGCCCCCACCTCTTGACTCCATGCTCTGATATCTGACTCGGACGGTACCCTGGCAAAAAGCGTCGAATCACCTCAGTACCCCCACTTTCACCATGCAGTACCACTCAACTTCCTGGAGTTTCAGATGAATATCCCCACCCCCACCCCCTCGATATCCGTAGCCTTCAAAATGGTCAGTGACCCCTTCTTCGTCGCCGTTGACCTGCCATGGCTCTGCGAGCGAAGAACGGCTGCTCGTTCCGCGCGCTCATGAAGATGATGAATGCGTTCATGCTCGTCACCTGATCGTTACATCCTCATTCCCCCTCTCAGTGTCCCCTTCAGTCCCTTCCTTCCCTTCTCTTCTCTTCCTCCTTTCCCCCAACCCTCCCTCCCGATCTCCCACACACCCTCATTCTCGTACTTGTGGACTCGATTCGTCTGCCGTCCCCGGGATGTTCACGAAAGGAATGAAGAAGCTCAAGGGAGGGAAGAATCCTCAACAGCCGACGATCGATTCGCAGGAATACCTTGAAATGCTGGGCAAGGAGCCGCACTTTCAGGGTGAAGGAGGAGACACCTCGGACTTACCTGAGCCCATCAAGTCGTCGCCGTTCCTGTCCGACCTCTACAGCAAGAATGAGGAGTTCCGATCGTTTGTTGACGCTGCCTTGCTCAAGGACGATCAGCAGAGGGAGAGGGCAAGAGTATCTGAGAAGAAACTGAAGCAGCAGTATCAAGCGGTGATGGCGGTAGAGGGCCAGTTACAGGTGCTCGACATACATTTTATCCTTCTCCCCTCCATATCACCGGCCTTCAAAACAACAGCACCTTGTTGTTGCTCTTGATGCTGGCTCGAAATCCCTCTAGCCACATTTCCCCTTTCCCTTCATCCTCATCCTCCTCCTCCTCCTCCTCATTCCTCTTCCTCTTCCTTCTCCTCTTGCTCATCGTGTCTTTCTAGATTTACGAAGAGACCGTCTCTGAAGCTCTCATCCGCCTCGGCTACGAGCACGGCAGTTACAACTGCAACCAGATGGCAGACGCGCTGCTCAACGGCATTGACATCCTGCTTGAGAGCGAGACCCACTTGCTCGACCGGTCGCAGGTCCCTCCCGACGCACCTCTCGTGCCTGACCTCTGACCTCGGAGTCCGCAGGAGATGTACGACCAGATCTTGCAGGCCGAGGCGATCATCTTGTCGGAGGAGCGATTGGCGAGGTCGGGGGAGGGAGGGGAGAAGGCCCAGGCTGCCCCGAGTGCCACGAAGGCAGAGGAGCAGCCGATGGCGTCTGCACCCAGGGACGCGTTCGTGTGCTCGGTGTGCAGCAGGCATGCTGAGGACGTTGAGAGCGGTGAACCAAGCCAGCGGCAGTTGAAGGATCCGAGCTTGCCCGAGTTGCAGGAAAAGCTCGAGGCGCAGGACGAGGAGCTGTAGGTGGCGGGGACCAAGACGTGGCGGTTGATTTGGTGCTGCAGGAGGCAGCTGTACACGTATTCCACACAACTGCTGGAACAAATCTGCGAGGTCTGCAGCCTGAGACGATGCAGCTCCGGGATGGACTGAGAGCTGGTTGGGGCAGGTGCAGGAGGAGAACACCTCGCTGAGAAAAAGTCACTTCCAGACGGCGAACCTATCCCAGGAGCTGATGCAGGAGGTAAAGAGCTACCACCAGAACCAAGCAAGGTTGCTCCCGATGACAGCTGGGCTCCCTTCCCTGACCTGATCCCCCGCTAGATGGAAGGTGGAGAAGAAGGCGCTACTGTCGCTGATCATGGACCACCTGAGCATCCAAGACGACTCGGAAGTGGATGCCGAGGAACCGAGTGCGCCCTCGTACACCTCCTCCTCCTGCCTCCTCCTGACTCTCCTCATGCCAGACGCTCGGTTCCAAGACCCGGCGGAGCGGCAGACCTTGTACGCGAAGCTGAAAGTGATTCTCAACGAGAACGAACCCGAACCAAGTCAGGACAACCCGACTGAAATCTCGCAGATCAACTCAAGGCCTCTCTCAGCCAAGGTCTCTTGCTACCTCTACCTCTTGCTACCTCAAGATTCTCCACTGCTCCCTCCCCTTCCCTTCCAGGGGTTAACTGCCCACCCACCTCCCCGCCTCCATGCAAAACTGTCGACTCCTCGCCTCCTTGAGCCTCTCCCACACTTTCTCCTCCACTTCCTTCATAACTCCTGCTCTCCTCTTTTTCGCTCTCATCCTCCTCCTCCAACCCCGTGGCTGCTGCGACCTGAAATGCTCCTCGTTCACCAGTTTGTCCTGCGAGAGAACTCCGGAGCTTCTCATGGCGCCGAGCGCCCAGTCCCTCACAAGCCAATGACGCCGGGGGACATCGACCAGACGATGTGTAAGGGGAGGAGGAGGGCCTGTTGAACCCTTCTCATGCTCGCTCTGCAGGCCAGGGGCCCATCTTCGATGCTTCCTCTCCCATCAAGAACTCGAAGCATGACAGGCACCTGGCCGACGCGTCTCCCAGGGCGAACGGGGTCAACGCGAATGCTGCAGTACCAGCGAGCCAGCAGGTCTTCCTTCCCTTGATACCGCGAGCGTGCCTGAGGCTGAGTCACGTGCTGCTGGCAGGTCAAGGAAGCTCTTGTCACTGACAGCGACGTCTTGGTGCCGGTGGCTGCCAAGTCCCTGGACCCTCAGCCTGTCGACGTGGCGCTGCAAGAAGTGAAGACAGAGAGGCTGATTGAGGTGCCTCCGCCATGTGATGAACCGCCGACTGATCCTGCTGTGTGTGCAGTGCCTTCGGACTTACTTCATCCAGCACGACCACTCCAAACTCTCGAGCATCTACAAGTGAGCACGGGCACAGCTCCTCCCCGTGCTCTTGTGACCTGCCCCCGCAGGCTGGCCGCGGACTTTGCCGGGAAGGAGCCCGAGCTCGACTTTTTCCTCTACAGGACGTACGGGTATCACCTGGATGTGAGCAAGAGGTCGGCGATCAACATGGAGGCAAACTCTGAGAACAAGGACGTCGGAGCGATCGTGATCTCCCGCGGTTTCTGTGCCGGGGACCATAGGCTGAACGATCGCGTGCTGGTGGAGGATGGCAGGGTGAGCTTGCAGCTGACCCCGAGGACGCACGTGGCCCCGTCGGGGAGGAAGTTCGAGCAACTGTACGGATATGGGGAAGAGAAAAGGTGAGGGCGCAGGGGAGAAGGGAGCTGGGGAGGATGCATGTTGGAGCAGGAGAGGAGGGATGGAGGAAAGAGAGGAGAGTTTGTTGTGGCTCAGGCAATTTCATTCCTCGCTCATGTTTCTTTTCTTGTCTCCAGCAAACAGGAGGAGAAGCATCCGTCGAAGCTGATCATGACGCCAAGGGGGCAGGAGGCACCAAGACAGGCTTTGCTGGAGGGAGACAAGGCAGGGAGAGAGACAGAGATATCGCCGACGCTGACGGTTGTCAACGAGATGAGGAGGTGAAGGAGCTTCAGCTTCTTGCCCTTGCGTTGATCAGTCTTCCCAGGTATCCCTCGCACGCCAAACTTTACAGGAGCATCGCGCATTAGCCGGCGAGGAAGCGGTTGGTAAAGAATCGAGCGAAACGAAAGCCATCGCAGCTTCAGTCTGCTGTCAATTTTCTTTCAACGCCTCCTCCTTTTCTGCTTCATCAACGTCATCGTCGACTTCTTCTTTTCCATGACATTCAGCGAATATCACCACAACCTTCATCTCAATGTGCTGCGTCCTCATCGCTCCCTCTTCCGCGCGAGAAACTCTTGGATCGCATTCCTGAGCGTGTGATTGTCAACGAAGGCGAGGCAGGAGAGGGAGATGTTGGTGAGGGGGTCAGTGCGATGGGAGGAGAACCAGTGAAGGATTGCTGCCTCCTCGTACGAGTGTCCTGACTCGATCACCAGCACCGGATTCTCCATCACCTCATGCGTGATAGGGCAGAGGAAGCTCGTCGGTATGCTCTGCTCGGCCTCGGGTTGACCTGTAAGGCCGGCAAAGTGAAGACCGTCCCGACCGATGCTGCTGCCTCCTCCTCCTCGTTTCGGTTCAGAGCATCGTACCGCGTGCAGTAGGAGAAAGTCCGAAATCCGCTTGTGGCTTTGCACTTGCATTTCCTCTCTTCTTCTCCTCCCCCCTTCCTTTTATTTGTATCTTTGCGACGTTGACGGATGCCGCGGATTTTGACAAGTTGGTCTCGTCAAAACGGGTGGGGCAGGGGAGGAGGGGCTGAAAGGTCAAAATCAAAGTCGGACGAGGAGACAAGAATCTGACGGAGACAGGAAGCAAAGGAGGCGAGAAACAGAATATGGAAAGATGCTCGAAGAGGAGGGGAGAAGGGGATAAAATCAGCAGGTCGTGCTTCGATATGCTCCTTTCTTCGCACCACAGAAACTAGAGAACAAGCTCACTTCTGTCCGATTGCTCAGAAACATTAGTGAGTGTCATCGATTTCGATGTATTCACATACATATACAACTTAGTCATCAACTCGCACAGAAAAAACTTGTGGCCAACGCATCCAAAAACAACCTTCAGAAACTTCTGCGACGAGGAGGGTAGAGAATGAGAATCTCCTTTCTTCTCGCCTCCTCGCTCACTCGAAAACTTCCCATCTCCTACAGACACACGAGACTCATTCAGGGATGGAATGAATCTGCTTCTCCTTCCCTTCTCCCTAGACCTGTCTCCTGGCACCGACCTGCGCTGGCGTCACGGGCTGCGGAGGTGAAGGCAGGGGAGGGAGAACCTTCAAGTCAGGGGAGGGAGGAGCATTCAGACCGACTGAGAACACGAGGGCAAACAACGCTAGCACGATAATCTGCAACAGAGACGTGAGCAAGACGGGCGGCACAGACGTGACGGGCGGGAGGCAGGGAGGACTTGGGGGCAAGGGAAAGGACCAGGCCCTGATGACCCACCAGCATGGTAAAGATCGCGATGGCCACAGAGCCCTTGGGAGCTCCGTTCCTCCTCTGCCCCTCTCCCGCCCTGTCGCCTCCTTCCAACAACCTTGTCCTAACCTACACTGGCATGTCACAAACGACCCCAAGCAGGAGCCAAGACCCTCCACCTCCGCATCCTCTTCCGAGTTGGTCACGACGCCCACCGACACGTCGCGCAGCTCGATGATGTAGGGGCTGCCAGCGTGTGAGATGAGGAGGGAAGGGGGAGAGGAGAGGAGCACCTGAAGTAGAGCAGGACGGCTGAGATCGCGATGTACTGGACGATGCTGTTTCCAGTGGTCTGCCAGGTGACGAAGCTGACTGCGGTGACGACCATCCATGCCACCATCCAGGTCTCCTTCATGATGGAGAGGTTCTGCTGCTCCATCGAGAGGGTCGAGAACGTGCGGGATCGCATGCAGATCCTCTCGGTGGAGTTCCAAACCTGGAAGACGACGAGGAGGGCGAAGAAGCAGGCGGCAAACAGCACGTGGGGGATCGGGAACTCGGAGACGGGGATGGTTCCCATGAGAGCTAGGCAGACTGTAGCTGCGAGACCCACCCCCAGCTGGACTCCAGCAGAGAGTCTGGTGTAGAGGTCCCAGGAGTCTTGATGACCGGGCTCAAACTTGCGGGAGTGGTTGATGAGCAACAAGATCGCCAACAGGATCGCGCTGACGTTCATTCCTAACGTGAAGATGTAGCGCTCAGGAGCATACATGCCGCACATGCTGACTTGCGGGAAGCTCGGCACCTGGCGGGGCAGGACAACGTGAGTTACAAAATCGCATCATGGCCAGTCTCGGCAAAGAAGCAGGGCTGGGGAGAGGACGAGGAGGAGGATATAGGGGAGAGGAGAGGGAGAGTTCAGCTTGCAGCAGCTCACATGCCCCAGCATCGATGCCAGTCCGCATGACATGAAGATCGTTCCCAATGCGACCGCCATGGCAGCCGCTGCCACTGCCCCGCCTCCTGCGCCCATTGCTGCTCGGAGTGTGACGGGAAGAGGGGTAGGGGTGACTACCCTCACCCCTACCCTCTAGTGTCCAACGCATATAATATAAGGGGTATGATTGATTCCAGACTTACCGAATTTACATTTGTTTTAAAAACTTAAAAATGTCAGTTTTAAAACCTTTTAAAAGGTTCCCTTGCGGTCGGGGATACCGAAATGCAGGCGAAGCGCAAACGTGGCGGCGCTCGATGGGCATGCACGGTAGGGGAGAGGAGGGGGATGAGAAGATAAGAATCAGTTATGAAGGAGACAATCCACGAGGTAGAGGCGAGAATGGATCAATGATATGTATGATGAAGGAGAGGAGATGAAACAAATGTTGCAATCCGTCATCAGTTTGCTTTGGTTGGATCCATCCTGCTCTTTGCACCATGATGTTTGATCCGTTTCACTTCATCTCCCAACCTTCATTCATAATTTCTTCAACGGTTTTTATCCTGAACTGACATGATTCCTGCATAGATCGCCTTTTTCTTGTCTTGCATCACCACCCCGACGCTTGTTCGAGCATGTACTACCATTTTAGCAACCCCTGGCTCTACAGTCGATGGCTCGACACTGAACTCACACAGCAATGACGGTGAAGGGACTGTAGATCCGAGGCTAGTGAGGATAGCTGCAGCAGGTAGCACTCTCGTGATCCAACCACCCTTGATGCGACTGTTTAGACCACGAACCCAACTCGTTGAGAGACATATTCTTTGCTTACGAGGAGTACCCTCGTTACATCGGCTACAGCAGGAACGTCTCCGAGTACTTCCCTAGCAAAGATCAGACTCCTTTCGCTCCGATCGGGAGGTCAGCCGAAGCTTCTTGCTCGCACTCTGACTGTTCACCCCAGGATTCCACAGGTTCCTCACACGTTCGCATACTTCGAGGAGACATACGGAGTCATCAACGAAAAGCAGGTCTCCATCGCCGAGTCAACATGCAGCGGAGTTTTTGGCGCCAAACCTGCAGGGCAAGGCGGCAAGGCGATCATGAGCGTCGACACCTTGTCGCAGCTGGCCATGGAGCGAGCAGCGACCGCGCGGGAGGCCGTTCAGATTATGGGAGATCTCGCGGTCAAGTATGGGTTCTACGGGGCAGGATCCTTCGAGGGAACAGCTGAGTCCCTGCTGGTTGGAGACCCCAACGAGGGATGGGTCTTCCACATACTGCCGGTAAGCCGATGAAGAGGAGGACGCGAGTTGAGGCCGGGTGCCAGGACGACACGGGAACCTCTGCGATTTGGGTCGCCCAGAAAGTCCCTGATGGTGAGTTTGCAGTTCAGATATTTGAGGAGCAGGAGCAGGAGCAGGAGCAGGAGGTGGTGGTGTGTGCTGGTTGGAAGGGGAGAATGGGAGATGACGATGACGGCATTGAGGTTTTTGAGGGTGGAACAACATTGGAGCTGACGATCACACTGACCACGATGAATGAACTCATGACGCATGGGTCAGGGCATGTCACGATCGTTGCCAACATGTTCATCATCCGGGAGGTCAACCTAGCGGACAGCGAAAATTTCCTGGGGTCACCCAACATGTTCTCGATCGCCCAGTCCAAGGGATGGTGGACCCCGGGGAGCAAGTTTGACTTCACCGCAATCTTCAGTGACGGTAGGACCAGGACGCTTCGTCCCCCCATGCTGCATCTGTGCCCTGACGTTTATTTCCCTGTCTGCCGTGATTGCTCTGGTAGGCGAATATGCACACAAGTTCTATACCGGACGGCGGATCTGGCGTGCCTACGATATCCTTGCACCTTCTAGCAAGTTTCCCACCACATACAAAGAGTATGATCTCCCTCGTGTTGATTGCTGTTCATGCCGAGCCGCCATGCTCTGATTCGTGATCCTCCTGCAGCATACGATACTCCAGTCCCTATCCCTTCAGCATCGCCCCCGATACAAAAGTAGCACCTGCCCCACCCTCCCTCCTCACTACCCACTCAAGTCCCTTGCAGGTGGAGTTGGCGACGGTCATGGCTATCATGAGGGACTCACTTGAGGTTTCTGTCTGCTCTGCCCTCTCCCTTCCCTCTCTCCCTCTCCTCTCTCCCTCCCTTCTCCCTCCCTTCTCTGCTCCTTCCTCATCTCTCCCTCATCTCTCTGCCCAGGGGACGCCATTTGACATGACAGCTGGGCTGGCTGCTGGACCTTTTGGCAGCCCCGACCGCTGGATAGGCGGTGATGGTGAGACACTCTCGATCAGAATGCCCAGCTCATCCTCAGCTAGGTGAATCAAAGGTAGCTGGGAACTGGGAGCGACCGATAGCACTCTTCAGGACGTCAGACTCGTACGTCGCTCAAGTAAGACACAGCCTACTCCTCCTCTCGCAGCTCCTTGTCCACACCTTCTCCTCGCTTGCGGCGCCTGCCCATCCCTCTCTCTCGCCTGCTTCTGCTAGTCCGTCTCTCACAGAGCCGGGCAGAGCAGGAAGTGGCTGCCAGCTCAAGTCGGAGGACTCGTCTGGTTCGGACCGCATGGAGCTCACGCGACCGTCTACGTCCCTTTTGCAATCGGCATGCAGGACCTGCCTCCAGCGTACAAGGTGACGATACGAAAGATCCCAGCAGAACCATCAGCTGACCGGTCACGTCCAGATCGGCAACCCTTCGAAACTTGACAGGAGATCAGCATACTGGGCACACAGGCGAACAGGCTCAAGCGCTCTCGTGCTCGTCTCTGACAAGTGTGGGCAGGTATGTGGAGAACTTGGCAAACCTGAGGTGGTCGGACATGATCAAAGACATCCGAGCTCAATCAGTGAGGCTGACGAGAAGGGAAGGAGATCCTGTTCTAACTGACCATCTAGAGCAAGTGGGAAGAAACTTCGAAAGCTCTGGTCGGAAAGGTGGACCAGATAGGATTGAAAGATCCCAAGAAGGTTTCGATGGCCAGGTCCCTAACGGGCTGACGGAGGGTTCAGATGACCGACCTCTACATCGCAAATGCCAATGGAGTCATCAAGTCATGGTGGAAGCTAGCTGATGACCTCATGGAAAAGTATGCTCCTCCCCCGCATCAGCTCTTGCTTCCTCCACTTCCTTCTCTCCCCCTCCCCGCTCGCTTCCTTCTTGTCTCTTCTCCTCTCTTCCCCACGTCCTTCCACATTCCTCGCCCCTCCCTCTCCAATCTCGACCATCGCTTTGCTTCCTCCTTCATCCTAACGCTAGTCTGCAGGTACGCCGATGGAAACGTCTATGGGAAACCCGTCGGGTATCCTGCCTGGTGGCTGCAAGCGGCAATCCTTGCTCATCCTCCTGTGGTACATCCTCCTCATCGTTCCGCAGGTTGGCTATCCCAACGGACCTCCGCCAGTCCCCTCCACTGCAATGCAGATGTTCAATCGCAAGCATCGAGGCCGCAAGGAGCTGAAGCCACAAGAGGCTCTTGTGTCATGAATGCTCAGACTGAGCACGTTAACCTTGATAGCAAAGCATCTCTACGCCCTCCATCAGTCGAGTCAGCCCATCCTCAGTGCCCCTGCTCCACCCCGTCAATCCTCCTCGTCTCCTTGCCATCATCCTTCCTCCACCACTGAGGTCACTCTCGTGAGTGAAACAGCTCAGCTCGTAATGCTCATCCATCCTCCCTCTGCCTGCATCCTTCCTCTTCTCCTCCCTCTTCCTGCCTCCCTCCTCCCTCCTCCCCCTCCTCCCTCCGACACTGAGCAGAGCAGACTTCGCAGAGCAGACTCCGCAGAGCAGAGCAGAGCAGAGCAGAGCAGAGCAGACTAGCAGAGCAGCCTCAGACTCGCGCAAGTGGGAAACTCAAAAGAGCAAGACTGATAGGAAGGCCAACAGGGCCTGAGCCATTAGGAGAGCAGAAGGTCAGGGATGCGCATGATGGGTCCCGGGTCTCGGGGGTCAGGACTGCTCCCGAAATTCCCGGATCGTACTTCAGTGGGTTTAAAAATGTTTTTCCTAACTTTCAAAATACATTGTACTTTATCATCTCCTGCCGAAATAATTTAAAAACATAATCTGCACTTCGTTGGCATGGCCCCGCACAGTCACAAGGGGAATGACGATGCAACGCAACAGGAACAAGAGTAGCAGGAGCAGGAGCAGGAGCAGGAGCAGGAGCTAGCAGAGTTACACGTACAACAAGCAGGAACAGCGTCTGTTGTGATGAGTGAGGGCATCTGGACTGGACCTGAGTACCGTTGAGAGCATGCTTTCCTAGAGTGCTCGCAAGGGGCCGATGCCCATCAGCGCGTTTCTCTTCACACTTGTATGTAGCATATGGTTGCAACCCGTTACAGGAGGCACCCTGCTGCCTCCTGGTCAACTCCCCGCCCTTACCGAGGAAGGCCGTGGCCTTCGAGCATCGCATGTGCTGGTTGGGACAGTGAGGCGATCAACGTCGACAGCAGTGAGGATCAAGTTTGTCCTCGATGTTTCCAACGTCCAGCCCGATCGAGCCGCCAGCGACTTCAACATCCTCGGAGGGGAAATCGCTTCCAGCTTGACGTTGACCCGTTCTGCAGTTAGCCTTGTCAGCCAGTTCGCAGCGGGAACAACCACATGGCAGATAGCATATGAGGTGAGCACAACAAGAGATGTAGCGGAAAAAGTTTCGTCTCAGATCAAGAAAAGCTTGGACTCTCCCAGCCTCTCTGCGTTCATCCGCTCCAAGGGATGGAGAGTTGGGTTTTATTCATACCCCGCCATGTACGACGAAGCGAACCTGCCCCTGAGGATCACGGCAGACGACAGTCTGACAGCTGCGTTTGTGGCGAAAGTGATCGTCCCCGTCTGTGCCATCACTGCTCTGTTGATCTTCCTGATTCTTTACTTCCATCTCGTCGAGCAGGTGGTAAGAGTTCCAACTCCTCCTGTTTCACCCTTCTGTCTCCTGCTGCGATGTTTGCTTCCTCTGAGCCCCATGGACAGGAAATCTGGCTGGAGGGAAAGTCAGATTCGGCGGAGATCGACCCTGACGAGTTCTTGGGGAAGTTAGAATCGGATCGTAAGCTGGTATCGCTCAGACGGCAGCCAAACCTCCTTGAACTGACTTGCTGGCAGTATCGGGAAGCAGGGAATCACGCGACCCCTTCGTCCAGTGAGCAGGATGCAGAGAAGGATCTGCATGTGAGTTCCAATGGATGGATTGGCCTCGGGCCCATCAAGTTTAGCAAGCAGTCTGCCGACGCCAAGCAAAGAAACTTCGATTTCTTTGAGAGCCCTTCCGAGGAGAACGTCTCCACTGTTGATGGTGAGAGGAAGGAAGATATGGTTGCGTCGGAATCGCCTCAAGAGCAAGAAGAATGCATGATGAAGCCGGGGGTCAGTGTGAAGATCAGCTCTAGCTTCCGGCCTTCTTCAGCTGCTCATGATGTATTCTACGATCTCTCCCATCAGGTTGAGATTCTTGTTTTGTCTTTTTCAGACCCTCCTTTCTCCTTTTGCTCCTCGTCCTCCCTCTCACGCCCTCCCATGATGTTTTGGTCGCCCTCGGGCTGCAGAGCGCGGAGAAGTCAGCTGGAGACGGTGACAGCGAGCTGCTGAATTCAAGGTCGTCCAAGTCCAGCATGCCCCGCGTGCTGGATCACAAAGTAGCCAACTTCGTCATACCATCGCATTCGTGAGTAGCTTGAGTTGAGGCAGGGGAGTCATGTGCTGTGTTCTCAAGTCGCAACTCAGGATGTCCGGGAGGCTGCGATCCGACAACAGCAACTTCAGCAACGTGAGCAACTTCAGCAGCTTCCAGGAGATCTCCGAATCGGATCTCTTCACGGCCTCGCAGTATCCACCATGCCTTCCCAGTCGCATTGAGCTGATCGAAGTTTTCAGCAACATGACGGGGAGGAGGAGGTTGTCTCAACGAAACGTGGAGAGGAACCACAGCAAGAACGAAGAAAAGGATTTTTCTAGACAGCGCATCCTTGACCTTCATAACGAGGTGAAATGGGGGGAGGAGGGGAGAAGGGAGGGGAGGGTGGGGAGGGGAGGACTTGTATGTCATGACGTGGGAGTCTTTCAAGGTCCTTGGGACGGCAGGAAGCCATATGACGGATATGGAGAGACTGCCAGGAGACAAGGGGGCACTGCATTACCAGGTTTACCCTCGCCTTGCTCCTCCTCCTCCTCCTTTCCTCCTCCTCCTCCTCCTCCTCCTCCTCCTCCTCCTCCTCTTCCGCCGTTACCCATTTGTTCCTCGTCCCTGTGCCACTCCTCCTGCACCGATTCCATCGTTCTCCTTCACCATTATCGCCTGCGGTCATGCTGAGCTGCAGGGAGCGGCGTCGCTCACAGGAAGGATGTTCGATTCAACTACTGACAACCTTCCTCCTAACGCTAAACTGAAGCGAGTGGTCAAGAGCTCGTTCCTGCGGGACGAGGACGAGATGTGGGGGTGATGGAGCACGATGTAGCATATTAACGAAGATGTTGTAATATACATTCATCCACCAGGTCTGAAGCCTCAACCAGCGGCTCGTACGCATGCAATCATCTTTTCAGCGATGAATTCCATCCATGTTGACGCACGAGGGGCGTAGGGAGTAAAACGGGTTCAATGCATTTACAACGCCCATTCACATATCATCCATTACACACACACCACCCTCTCTCCTTCCCCCTCTTCCTCAGCTGCTCTGCGTTGTCGACTTCCTGTTCACAGGGATCGGCATCTTTCCCAGCGCCTGCAGCGCTGTAGCAGTCGCCATCATCGAGTCCTGTCCGTTGAGGCTCATCGACCCGAAGAACCGGGAGGAGGCGGCGAAGCCCAGCCATGTCGAAGCGTTGGGATCTCTCTGCTTGTTGCAGTCCTCCATCGTTATCACACATCCCTACACCCCCGTCAGCCCTCTCTCCCTCCAAGCACGCACGGCAGCGCAGGTCTGGAGCTGACCTTAGGAGCATACTGAGGGTGTTTGGGTCGGAACGTGGTCCCAGTCTTGGCCCACTTCTCTCCTCTCTCAAGGATGTAGAAGTTGTGCATCCTGCTGAACGGCCTCTCCACGGCCCCATCCTTGTGCTTCTGCCGGATCTCACGGAGCTGGTTGAACCGTTCTGCAACCGCCACCATCGTCAACCCGACAGCGAGCTCGCAACATCGGGCTACCTTTGAATCGTTCCCCGTCGAGAACTTGATAGCACTTCTGGATGTTGTCCCATCGCAGCACATCATTTTCTTTGACGAGCTTCTGGATCACCTCAGGGAGCGGAAGGTTATGGTTCGTGGTGTCCTCGCCCGCGAATTCGTTCTGCAGCGGATTCTCCTTCTCTGTTTGGGATGTTGGCAGGATAGGAGGATGCTTGCTCGAGCTTCCTGCAAACAAGGGAGTTCAGAGCGAGGATGGCATCGTTCACGACAACAGCACCTTTAAGGCTCTTCGATCGCATCAGCAAGTAGTTGGCTCCCTCCCCCAGGGACTCTGACTCGCTATCGAGTCCATCAGGGGGTTTTCGCCCATGGCTGGAGGGAGAACAGCAGGTCAAGACTCTCCAGCTCAGCTCCTCCAGGTTGTCAAGAGCCTCCACTTGGAATAAGCTGAGAAAACTTCGTCGGAGCGTCAAGCTCTCAGGGATCGAGATCTTACAGCACCTGCATGAAACATTAAGCGGTTGCCCAGCAGGGGAAGTCAAGTCAACTTTGCGGGCTGCTGATGGGTGGCGTGCGCGGCGTCTTCCCACGTTGCTTCAGGAAGGTCGAGGTTGAGCTTCAAGAGCTTCGCTGCCGTGCCTGCTGCTGCATGGATGCAGCTCCTTGTATCAAAATCCGACTCCCCGATCAATGTGCACTCTATCTGCTCCGAGTCGTGGGACATGCATACTTGGAACATGAGGTGAGGCATGTTGCGGTTATCAGGAGCTCGGGAGGAATCTACAGGAGAGGAGGAAGAAAATGATTTCTCATGGGGTTTCGAAACATTCTGAGGGCTCCAACATGCCTGGAAAGCAAAGGTCAAAGAAATTCCAGCAAATCGATCAAACGGGAAGAGTCACAATCGTCCTCCTCCTCATCATCATCTTTCTCTGCAAAGGGCAGGGGTATCATGCTCTTCGTACATCTAGCAGCATTTTATCTAATCAATTGCTCCCTCTCTCACTCTCTTCGTCTGCTCTTCTCCCATTCTCTCTGCACTGTTCAGTCTCCTGCGTCAAATTCCAAGAGCTTGTTGCGACCTGCATTCTTCGATCTGAGTTCCTTTCCTCACTAACTGATCTCCTATGCTTCACCCATCTGTTCTCTCCCTTCTTGTCGTTGTCCTCTCCTCTCCTATCGCGCCATTTCTCTCCTATCGCGCCATTTCTCTCCTATCACGCAATTTTTCTTCTCCTCTTCCCTCGCCTTTCGTCTGCCTGCTCGTCGTTCCCAGGGCCCATTTTCAAAGTTTTTACCCTCATCCCCACTCTTTACAGGCTTAACAAACCAAGCTGCAAACCGTGGCAAGCCCGCCCTGGTGCCCGAAGGACCGGGCCCGGCCCAGGCCACATCATGATGATCATCGGCCGTGTCCGGCGCACAGTGACTCCGGGGGCGCATGATCCTGCCGCCGCGGGGCAAACGGACTGTGGCGACGGCGGACACCCGGCGGCAGTGGGCCGGTCGGAGGTTCAAGTGAGACTGTCCGGCGAATGGAAGTTGTTGTGAGTTGAAGTTACCGACCGTGCCGGGCCCTTGAGACATCTTGGTGAGAGCCTCAAATTTGCTCTTCGATATTTGTCAAAATGTGACTTTAATTTTGAAATTTTGATGTAGAATACTTGGTTCCATCTTATCATTCGTTCCTATCAGTAGCCCAACTGCGCGGGAAGATGGCACAGGAGGGCTTCAAGGGATCGAGAGATGCTGCCGCCGCCGCGTGAGACGATGGCAGGGGAGGAGCTGAGAGGAACTTGAGAGAGAAGAATCGACCATGGCTCCTGCGAGGATGAAGTTGCCAGGAGTTTCCGTGTGAACCAACAAGGACAGGTCAGAATTTGACATTTGAGAGATGAATTCGGACGTGAAGATTTCGGCGTTGAGAGAAGAGCACTCCAAGATTCTGAGTGAGATGCAGAGCTTGGCAAGAAAGATTCAGCACAAGATAGAACAGGAAGATGAGGGACACACACAGGGCAGAAGAGATCAGCTATTGTTGCCAGTGCCAGATAAGACTGTCGGAGACTTGTCGCCAGGTCACCATCGAGACTTCTCCATCAATTTGTCGCAAATCAACGGAGCATGCTCTGAAAACTCTCCTGCATCACTGAGGGACAGCATGAATGTCAACATGGATACCTTGAAGAGGACCATGAAGATCAAAGTTGAAAGCATCCTCAACTCGATCGATGGCTCCATTCCGAGCTACAACACGATGGATGCATGCGGAGACGGTCGACCGGCATCGTCCAGGGGCTGGAAAGTCGAAAACTTGGTGTGCGATTGTACTCAGGCGTCTAAGGAAGCAGCTGGGAGACGCGGAGATCGGTTTCACAGCTCTGTGTACAAACACAACTTTGCGGAGCTGCGATTGAGGGTTGCATCTTTGGAGCGAGACCTGGAGATCTCTCGCCAAGACTCAAACTTTCAGGCGCAGGAATTGATAGATTGCGAAACAAGGTTGCAGGAAGCGAATGCTGTCATTGCACGGCAGCAAAAGGAGCTGAGCTCGTTGAGAAGGGGATCCGAGGGCCTGAGAATGATATATGAGAAGGCAAACAGTGATCTGCAGCAGTGCAAGAAGGACGTTCAAACACACTCATTGAAAGCCATGTCCCTAGAGAGCGACTTGAATGCTTTAGCTATCAGATTCAACTGCCTCCATGACGAGAAGATGGAGTTACAGAACTCCTATTTCTTGTGCAGGGAAGAGCTGAAACAGTTGAAGGAGCAGAGAGAAAACGTTTTGAGGGCAGTCAGCCATCATCAAAGCGATTCATACACATCGCCGACACAGGATAGATACCATCAATCGAATCTATTGGAGGGAGACCATGCTTATTCGAATGTTGGAATCCTCAACTTTCCGTCAGACGATGAGTTGAGCGATAGACAGCTGAGCTTGCTAGAGACAGTACGTGCCCGCCCCAAAGAATCCATGAGTCAAGACGAAAGGAAATTCGATGAAATCAGGCACGATGCATTGATTGAGGATTGCAGAACAAAAGATGCCGAAATAGAGCAACTGAAATTCCGTCTCTCTCAACTCGCTTCGGAACATTCTAGTTTGAGAGAGCATCTGATTGGTGACGTGAAAAGCGTGTCAATCGATTCTACGGACGTCAGTAACGAATTGGCTTGTTTGAGACTCGAGTGGTCCTCGCAGCTTGACAGATTGGATGCAGAGGTCCTTGGTTTGAGGAAAGAGTCACAAGCCTTGAGGAGCGAGGCAGCTTCACTGAGCGACAAGAACCAGGTGCTGCAGACTCAACTGAATGACTGCAAAGATATGCTGGATGAAAACTGTTCTGAGCTGACCGAACTCCGGCAGAAAGATCTTCACAGTGCCATGAAACTGACCTTCCTCAACGCTGAGCTCGACGCCTGCAAACATCAGCTGGATGTTCACCGAGGGGAGGTCCAACACCTCCAAGAGGAGCTGGTGAAAGCACAGCAGCTGCACACGGATAAAGCAAAAGAAGTCTATGACCTGAGGGTGGAGAAGGAATCTCTGACTCAGCAAGTGTATGACCTGAGGGGGAGTCTGCTTGACACGAGCAAATCTTTGGAGAAATCGCAGAGTGAAATTCAGTCCCAGGCTGAGGAAAAGAAAGTTGCTGAAGGAAGACTGAATGAGGTTCAAGCTGAATGTTTAACAGCACGCGCTGAAAGACAAATATTGGATGAGAAGTACCAAGCAGTCTGTCGAGAACTTAAGATGTTGCAAGACGCTCAAAGCGAAAACAGATTGCACATACAAACGATTGAACTGCTCCATGCCCGATTGGAAGCACAGAATGCGCAGAATCAGAAGGTGGATGAGGCAGTGGGCAGAGTTTGCGATGTGGAGGGTGAGATAGAACGACTACTCAACTTGTATCAGGAGAAGAGAGGGCGAGAGTTCATGCAAGAGAGGAGCTACTGGGTGACCCAAGACAACATCCTATCACAAATTGATGGAGTAGTCAAGAATTTGTGCCATTTGCATGACATAATGGCTGGAGCGATCTCAAATTCAATGCTTTCACAGGAGACGAAAGCTGCTGACTATCAATCGACGCTGCACCTGTGCCTGACCGAGTTCAGACACTTGACGCAAGAGATAGAAAAGTTAAGATTCCAAGTCCGGAAGGATGAAGCAGCAAGATTGGAACTGGAAAAAAACAAGATCTCCCTGTCGAAGGAGCTCAGGAATAGTGAGCATCAAGTCTCGAAGTTGGAGGAGACGATGGCGGATATGGCGACGAGGCATCGAGTTGTTGAGGAGAAACTCTCATACCTCCTCTCATCAACACAAGTCAAAGGCGAATACGATGCTGCAATCGACAGCAAGATCAGCGAATACGACAGCTGTCTAGATAAGATCTTGACGCAGCTGGACCAACTGCACAGCCAGGTGACTTCTGCAATTCTCACTTCCCCCCCCTTTCCCCCCTGTCTGTCTGTCTGTCTGTCTGTCTGTCTGTCTGTCTGCCCACCACATATCCTGACTTTGTAACAGGTCGCGTCTTCACGGGAGTTGAATGAGGCGGCCCGGTCCTCCCCCACTCATCGAGAAGGACAGAGAAAAATCGTCGATGAGATGGTACAAGGTGTTCGAGCACACGTGAAGGAATTCCTCTCGAACGGGTGGGAACCCCTCCTTCATACCCTCCCCGAACCCCTCCTGCCTCCTTTGACTACTTCATGCAGGATCTTGGACAATCAGTTTCATCAGATGGAGCAGAAGTTGTCAGAGATGCTGTCGAAGATCAACAACGACGACGAGCGGACTGTCGACATGGACCAGGTAGGATCAGTCTCCCCCGATACTTGATGTGAGAGCGAGGTGTGAGACTTTCCTTTCAAGGGAGACGGCAACATGCAAGAAATGCAATCGAAGATACAATCCTTAGAGGCACGGGTCCAACAAAACCTGATGGAACGCTCTGTCGTCGAGAGGAGGTACCCGGATCCTTCCTTAGCGTGTCTGACGCGCTTCAGGCTCGAGGAGGAGAAGGAGAAGGCGTACCAGCTGAAGCAGCAGGTCACCTCGTACAAGTGGGAGCTCGTGGAGGCGGTCAGGAGAGCGGAGATGGCGGAGAGGGAGATGCGGACGCAGGCAGAGAAGACAGCCAACAGCAGCTGTTGATGGCTCGTCGGCTGCCCCCCGTCACCGACAGCAGGCAGCACAACTCACTGCAGGCCCTGATTGAAAGATGCCTTCTACTGCCAGAACTGTCGGCAGCTCCTCAAGTCAGTCTGCCCGTCTGTAGAGTGTGGAGCCTGCCGCCAGTCCCCTGAACTTCTCCGCCTCCTCCCTCCTCCTCCCTCGCCTTGCCGACGAGGTCAGCACGCAGCCTTCCCATGCGCTGAACGCCTTGATGAGCCGCTCGAGCCGCACTGAGAGGGGAGGGAGAGGATCAGCCCTTGGTGTTAGCAGCACGTGCTTGCTGATTGTCGTCCACCTCCTCGTGATCTCCTTCGCCCACTGACGTGCTCGTCGCCACCACCGCAAGTGAGTGCGCAAGAGGACGAGACCGCTCCTCTCGATGAGGAGGAGCCTGCGGTATTTCCTGCGCGAGAACTTGCCATCAGCAGTAGCGAGCATGGCAGCATTGGGAGGTTGGCTGACGAGACTGATTGTCCAGGGCAAACTCGCATCCTCCTCTTGTTTCTTCTCCTCAACCCTCTTCCTCTCCAGAGCCTTAACTGTGATGGAATCAGCGCGGAAGTCAGTAGAAGCAGGAGATTTGATCAGCGTCTTGCCCTCCTGCTCTTCTTGTTTGTGCCTCTCTCTTCGCACTTCCGTCTCCTCCATCTCAGAGGCTGTGAGTTCCTGCCCACTCATTTGACGGCTGCCTGACTGTCTATCAGATTCCTTCAAGGAATCTCCTGGAGCAGCGACGGGGATGCGAGGAGCTGAAGGCTTCTTGTGCAGAGGCTGTCTGAGGGGGTCGCACTTGGACAGGAGCTTGTTTGTGAACGAGGAACAGCTCCAGGCATGCAGAACCTGCCGCAGCCTCCATCGGTTAAAGACGGTCTGCAGAGCAAGGAAAGACATCCGGTGCGGGAGGACTGTCCCCACGTAATACGCGCTGAGAGCATGGAAGTGGCTCTTCATGACGGTCGTCATAACCACCCTCGCCATGGCTGAATGTACGTTTCCTCTGTGACTTCGATGTATCTGGAGATCCTGCACATAATCCTTCCAGGCAGCGAGGTACTCCATCCTCACGCTCCTTTTGTGCTCATCGGCGACAGGACAGGCGCGGAGGAAGAACAGCCGAGTCCTCCTCATCCTCCTCCTCAGCATCCCCTCCGAGCTCGGAGCGTGCAGCCATAGGCTGCTGGTCATACTCACCCACAACTTGATGGAGGAAGGGGAGTAGTGGGCCTTGTGGCAAGACTGGTAGACGCTGCTAGTGAATGCAAACGGCGACGAACTGTGATAGTGCTGGAGCAGGCTCTTCATGCTCTTGATCCGGGGGACCGGAGACTGCAACAGGGACAGGAGGGAACGACGAGCAGCGCTGAGGGACAGGTGCCGGACGAAGCCGGTAAAGCAGTCTCTCCTCGTCCGCTCCGATCGCAGTACCCCGTCCCTCTCTCCCTCCAGCAAAGCCCTCATCGCCGCCCAGTGACCCCTCGCAGACCCGTCGAACCTGTTGCTCCTTCTCGCCTGCTCTCGGATCGACTCCTGGATGCTGCGCAGCCACGCCTGCTGCTGGTAACCGAACGACTCTGAAGCTTCCCTCTCCTCATGCTCCCTCACTCCCCTGCACTCCTGCCTGATGTCGTAGTCCGCTTCCCTCTGTTCCACTTCGGATTCTGTGCTGCTGCACTGCCGTTTCATTGGCACCTCGTCGACTTTGACAGCCAACACACTGTGCTCAACCCTCCCGGTTAGAGGAGCGAAGGGACTCGGAAGCAGTTTGGGAGCAGATGGCGAGCAGTACAGCTGGGGAAGAGCAAGGCAAGGGTCTCCGTCCTGCTCCTTCCTTGAGGTCTCATCGCCAGTGATCCTAGTCCGATCCCCAGGCAGCCGCGGCTTCAACTGAGAGCACACGACCTCCTTGGAGCAAACTCGCATCATCTGAGCGCTGCCATGGTCTGACTTGAGGAGTGCAGGAGGAGAGCAAGGGACGATGGCCTGCTGCACGGTACTGGATCGTGGCAGAGCGTCGACAGGTCTGCAGCTGTCTCCCGCGTCCATGCCTTGCTCGACCTTGCTCTCTTGGTTGAAACCCCGCAGAAGGTTGCCTATCTGTTTGAGATGATGTTGTAGCGCCCCCTTCCTTGGGGATCTTTTGGTGCCTTCGTTGAGCTCCTGGCTCTCCAAGAGGCTACACAGCATCTGCTCCTGCAATCTGACCTCTTCCTGCAGGTCAAAGACCACAGCAACGGTATGCTCCATCTTCAGTTGGACAGAGTTCACGCAGGAATCCATCAAAGCTGTACTCATGCTATCACACCGGCATCGTACCGAAGCTGCCACCAGTACAGTACTAGTTGGGCCTCTCAGTCACCTGAGCTCGGAGGCTTCCCTGCCCTGCCGCCTTGGCCATACTGGTCGGATAGTACAGTTGTCGAAGCCATGCTGCCGACTTGCCGCCCTACTGTCAACAGAGGTCACCTGAAGCCGTTCAACCATGGATCGTGTATGATACGGTCGGATGCATGGTTGAAACTGTAGATTGACAGGATAACGGAAATGAAACGAAATTCAGAGGAAAATAAAACTATTTTTAAATTACAACTATTTAATACATACAACATATATTATATTTATTACAAGGTACAGATTTAAAAAAATCTTGTTGAATAGACCAGCCTGGGGTGTGCAACATCACCGGTACCCCTCTATAAATAGGGGTACCTATGGAATCTTGTTGTTTGAGAGAGGTCCTTTCTATAGCTAACTTTCAAAATTAGAGGGTAGGGAGGGAAAAAGGCAGGGTACATAGAACAATTGTTTGATTTGTCATGGTAGGGGTACTGTTTTCAGGGGGTGGGGGTAGGACAGAAGGGGGGCGTGTGAAAATGGTTGCTTTTGGCCTCCGGAGGGGATGGGAGATGGGGAGGGGAGGGGAAGAGGAGGGAGGGAAGGGAAGCAGGAGGAGAAGGGAGACAGAAAGTAACCAGTTGACGAGGATTACCTATGGGATGAAAGGGAGGTACATAAGAGGATTTTCAGACCAGGAGGGAGAAAGAGAAATGAGGAGGCGTAGAAGAATAGAAGGATTGACCCGCGCAAGGCATGGCCACAAAGGGGATTGAAAGTGCCTAGGATGCTTTGATGTGAGATGCAACGTCGATGGAGATGCATATCTAGATCGATGAATGCAAGGGAGAATATCTGAACCACAGCAGTTGGGTTGAAGAATGCTTCTATCAGGGTGAAGTTGGCCCGTGGAACTTCCTGCGAGAAGATGAATATGCTGAGTGCAGGGATGTGTCTCTGACTTATGTTGCAGATGGCAAAAGAAACTATGCCATCTTCCAGGACAAAATTTTCACGCCTTGTTCCTATCTTCTTTCTCCTGTCATGCAGCATATCAGTTGTTACTGCCTTCGGACCGCCGACCTCACTCTCGATCGGATTCTCCGCAAACAGCAACATCTACCAGCAGGAGAGCAGCTTGAAGTGCTCGAGAGCTCACATCCGTTACAACAAGGTCTCTCCTGTTCTTCTTCCATCCAGCGGTTGAACCAAGGCAGGTCTGCATGCAAACCAAGAGCGAGGAGGAGACGACGACTCGGGATCTCGTTCAGGTGAGGAGGACTTTCTCTTATTGTCTGAAGCATCTTACTGTTATGGACACCCAGGATGACTCAAGGCTGCTGGGGTCTCGCCGCCTTGCCGCTCTCAAGGAGGTGTCTCCTTTCACTCCTGTATGTGCCGGGGGCTGAGGGCTTGTCCAGGTGATCACCAAGGGGTTGGAGCATGAGGAGAAGCACGACAAGCTGCTGGGATCTTCTCGTTTGGCAGTCGCGAAAGACATCGTCCTCAAGACTCCAGCAGACAGGTGAGATGGTTCCATCCTCCTAGCTGCTACCTTGTACCGACGGCGTTCCGCCCCCCCTTCTCTTCTGCTTCGAATTCTCAGGATGATTCTTGCTCTCTCTCCAGAAACCGTTTCCTGGGATCGACGAGGCTGCGTCAAACTCGGCAGATTCTGTTTGAGAAGGCGGCGGAAGTCCGCAAGTCAAGCTCCCCAAAGATGCTGGGGTCGCGACGACTAGGCAAGGCGAGAGAGATTCTTATGATGGGCATCAAGGAAATCAGATCCATGAGGAAAGACAAGAAACCCATGAGCATCGTTGCTCCTCCGCAGGTGCAAGAACGTCGGACGGAGGAAGTTCCGGAGGAGAGCAGCCGTGCTCCTGCCACCGACAAGTCCGTCCACTTTGTAGGTCAAGAAGCGACTGAGGAGAACAAACGAGACATCCAGAAAATCCGCCAGTGGATCTCGGAGGTAGTTGTGCTACCTGACCCCCTTACCTCCCTTCTGACTTGCTTGCAGCTCACTGAGGTGGAGAGGGAGGCCATGAGCGATTGGATCTTCACCCGCCAGGATGTCGAGATCTTCCGCTACCTGTTGGGCTTCAGGAGCGCCAAGAACGCGTTCGAGAAGATGAAGGCAACGGCGAGGTGGAGGAAGGCAGAGAACATCGACACCATCTTGAGCGAGGACTTCAGCCACCTCTTCGAGCCGGGCAAGGAAGAGATGCTCTACCTGCCCCCCGATAGCAACGGTCGCCCCATCCTCCTCTACCGCTCCGCCCTCCACACTCCAGGCAGGGTCGACCCTGTCCTCTTCTGCCGCTACATCACGCAGCAGACGGAGAAGGCGATCTTGCAGTACAAGCTGGGGACAGAGGTGGAGTCCTGCGTGCTTGTTGATCGGATAGGGAGCGGACTGAAGAATCAGGACCCTGCGCTGCTGCGGGAGCTCGTCCCCATCATCCTTAACCACTACCCCTACCAGGTGGGGAAGGTATACATTGCCCCGATCTCCCCGACTTTCAACGTCATCTGGGGGATCCTGAAGCTCCTGCTCGACGAGTCTGCCAAGAAGAGGTTCGTGCTCTGCGACGGGGACTACACCTCCACCCTCCTCAAGGACATCCCGTCCGAGCTGCTCCCGAGCACGCTAGGAGGGGAACTTGACGTGGAGGACTGGCTGAAGAACAGGAGGGACCTAGTCAAGGCTGACGTTGAGCTGGCGATCCTGGAGAAGCAGCTGGACTCGTCAATATCGAAGGAGAGCATCTCGTGGGCGAACAAGCCGGCCAAGGAGGAGGAGATTATGGGCATCGCAGCCATCCGCGTGTACATCGCTGAGCTCTCGGAGGAGGACAAGGTGACTCTCGGCCCCTGGATCGCAGGCATCGAGAATAACGACATCCTAAGGTCTTGCTCTCTGACTCTCCCTCTCCTGCTCACCGCTCGTGCCCCCCAGGTTCCTCCGTGCGCACCCTTCGGTGGACGCGGCATGGGCGGCGATCAAGAGGACGTCCAAGTGGCGCAAGGAGGAGAAGATCGACAGCATCTTGGAGGAGGATCTCAGCTACGTGATGGCTGAAGGGAAGGAGGAGTTCTTCTACACAGGTGTGGACAAGGCAGGGCGGCCGATCCTCGTCTACAGGGCTGCAAGCCACGTGCCAGGGAAGATTAACGAAAAGCTCTACTGCCGCTACGTCGTGCAGAGGGTGCGTGCACCCTCTCTCACCTCCTTGTCCTCCCCTCTCCTCCCCTCTTCCGCTCTCCTCTACCCTCCTTCCTCTCCACCTCTCCTAAAACCTTCCTTTTTCGATCTGTTCCTCTCCTGTTCCTCTTCTCTTCCTGTCGTTTCTCCTCCCCTCCTCTCCTCTCATCCTGTTCTTCCTCCCCCTTCTTTCCCTGATGGTATCACAGGTGGAGCAAGGGAGAAAGAAGTACGGGCTGGGGAAGAACGTGCAGGCATGCGTTGTCGTAGACAGAATAGGGAGCGGACTGAAGAACCAAGATCCTGCTCTTCTCAGAGAGCTTCTCCCCTGCTTTACAACTCACTTCCCGGGTATTGTAGGCAACATCTACATTGCTCCTGTCAACAACGTGGTAAGCCTCTCCTCCTCCTCCTCCTCCTCCTCCTCTGCTCGTACTGTTCCGCTGCCTTGCTCCTGCTTCTCCTCCTGCTCCTGCTCTTGATACTGCTCCTGATCATGCTCCTGTTCATGCTCCTGATCATGATTATGATCATGCTCTTGATACTGCTTCTGCTCCTGATCATGATCATGATTATGCTCCTGTTCCTGCTTTCATCCTCCTCCAGTTCTCCCTTACGCTCGCCGCAGTTCTTCTTCGTGTGGTCCCTGCTGTCTCTGCTCCTCGACGAGGACACCAAGAACAGCGTGAAGCTGCTGGGCAAGGAGGAGTACAACTCCGAGCTGCTCAAGGTCATGGACCGGGGGGTCCTGCCCAAGAACCTGGGAGGAGACTGTGCTGTGCCGGAAGCAGGGATTTTCTAGAAGTGATTTTTTTTCTTGTGAAGTATTTAAAGACTCGATGCAATGTCCTTCAGGCAACGTTGTCCACTCTGTGCTTTCCAACAGTGCCATCATCCTGCCTGCATGCGATATACTCCTTCAGCCCTTCTCTCGTTCTCTCCCTCCCTCCTCCCTCCTCCTCCATCCTCCCTCCTCCCTCCTCCCTCCTCCACCCTCTCCCTCTTCGTTCCTTGTTCCTTACTTGCCCAGAGTAGCAAGTCTGATCCTGATCGGCCCTTTGATGCTGTCATGTTTCTCACAGGGTACCACCGCTCCCTTCTGCATGATCTCGACAACTCCTTCCCTGGCCAGCGCGCGAGCCACTTGCCGGGTCAGTTCCATGTATTCCCTCCAGTCCTTCCACTTGAGGGACCTGGGAATCTGCAAACGAGGCTAAGGAGGAAGGAGGAGGAAGGAGGAGGACGAAGGAGAGAACGAGAGAAGGAAAGTCGAGGTGAAGGGGGTTTGGGTTTAAGGGAGTTGGGAGGAGGAGTAGGAACGAGGAGGACGAGAGGAAGGGGGGAGGCGTGAGGACGGCAAGCGAGAGACGCCAAGGGGACGGGCCTCTGAGTTCAACAGGATGAGAAAGGAGGAAGGAGGAGGAGGAGGGAGGAGGAGGAGCTTACCTCGCTGGGTCAGCAGGACTTGGGCTTGCGCTTATTCAGCATTCTCATCATCTCCTTCTCGATCTGAGCCCTTGCTTCCTCTTTCCCCATCCTCGCCACGCACCTACTGTTCACACGTGTCACACTCACTGTCCGGGCCCGCTCGCTCTTGTCCGAGGGTGACATGGCCTGCACAGCACCCAGCACGAGAAGAGCAATCGAGACAACACAAAGACAAGCTCCTCTGCAACACAACAACATCATACACGTATCATCTTCATCTCGACTTGTCTTGTTCTATGACACCACCCATCAAGACTTCAGTCCCCTTATATCTATGTCGGGCATCAATCTCTATTTACTCCTTTAGCATCTTTCTGCCCTTGATATTTTCCTATACATTTCAGTGAGGCAGGCTTGTACCAATCGTCTAGCCAGTAAGCCGCTTGCTCGTCTAGCAGACCGATGCATCTATGTCTTGCCAGTGCGTTTCATTGAGCGAGAATGAAGAGTGTGTGAGAGAAGAAAAAGATGCTGTTGATGCAGATGCTGTTTGAAGTGCATGTGGTATCCTCGTTTTATCACCCTCGTATCGATGAGTAGGCTTCTTGGAATGAATTTTTTGAAACATGGAACACTCTTTTCACATGTTGCAAGTTGCGAACTTTCAGTTCGAAACCTGCAAAAAATATTCTCAAGACAGAGGTGCTATTTATGCTTCCTGAAGGTCTTTGTGCAATCAGCTTCCTACCTCTTTGGAAATCGTGTCTGTGTCTTGCGCATTGCAAGTAAGGAGCTTGCAGATGCAGGAAAGGGACTCGATGCATGCAAGCATGATCGAGACGAGGGTAACGATGACTGATCTACTCGCTATGCTGTTCGTGTTTCATTCTGTCAAACAATTCTACAGGTTCTTGGGAGGCAGGGGAAGGGAAAACTTGAAGGGCTGGGAGGAGGCTTTGCTCTTGGCCTCAGCATTCTCCTTGCTCTTCGCGTCTTGCTCATCGCTGGATCGCTTCTTGAAAGCGCTTCCCCCCTTCCACCTCCACTGCACGGGGTTTCCTGCTTTCATCTCGTTCTTGATCTTACCCACCACCTGTAGCGGGCCCTGGGGGCTGAAGGAAGACTCCTTTGGATACCCCTCTCCTATCAAGTACTGCTTCCCCTCCGAGGTAACCACAGCTTTCTGCATACTATCTCATCAGCTCACTGGAGCGCATGGGGTCAAGGCGCATACCTGGAACAGAGGCCCGTCAAACTCCACCAGTTCCACCTTCTGGTCCCGGAGGAGCTCGTAAAACTTGTCGAGTGAAATCTGCGGGAGCTGATCCTCTGCCGGCGAAGTTTGTGGAGGGGCGTCAGCTGCTCTCACAGGAAGGGAGCCCATGAGACTGAGGCCCAGACCCAGCGAAATGACCCGCGCTGCTGCTCTGCGTGTTACAGGTTTCGGATCCTTGGTGAGGTCCTTGCAGTCAGCGACGGGTGCTGCGCGAGGAGAGGGAGACGGCGTCTGGTGCATCCTCAGAGAGACCGTGGGAGAGCGCTGGGCAAGCGAAGGAGGAGGGGCAAGGAACGCCTGCACAGAGACGGCGCCGGCAAGCACAGCACATGCCGCTAGACGTGCCATAGCCGGCAGAGCTCGTTTATGTGTTCAGGCTGCAGGGCCGCGGGCCGCGGGGGCACTGACCGTCGATCGCCGGACGGTCCGGCGATCACACGGTGAGTCACGGGTCAGTCACCGGGTGCCGCCACTGGCACAGCCCGACGGGCCACCGTGGCAGGGCCGTACCCGGCCGGCCGGTCACCATGCCACCGCGCCGGCGCCGGCGCCGGGGAGGCTCCCGGGCCGGCGCCGGGCCGCGGAGTACAGTACGGTCCGACTGAGGCCGGAGTCCCGCCGGGCCGGGCCCTCTCACTGGGCCAGGCACTCGGATCATCAGTCAGCCCTCAGTCCGGCCCCGATTCAAACAGGGGCCGGCCTGACTTTCAACCATTGTCGAAGCGCGCCGCGGCCGCGGCGCACGCGGCCATTGCCGGGCAGTGCCGCGACGCCGGTAGGCCGCGCCCGGGCTGACTCAGTGAGGTACCCCGCTCGAAATCATGTGATCATAACGGTAAAAAGCGAGGCATGGTGAGAAAATACCATGCGGAACTCGGAATGTCTTGAGCCTCTTTCAATGACGGTTCCGAAGTTCCTGAGCCGAGAGCCCCCGGCGGGCCGCGCGGCCGCGGCCGCGCCGGCCGGGTGACTCATTGAATCAAGTTTATTCAAGTGACTCAAAGTCCGATCACCCGCCGGAAGGTTTGATCGGCCCATGATCGGCGATCATCCGATCCGAGTAAGGGCCTTTACTCAAAGTTAACTTAAAAATCAGTACGAGGACCGTACAATCAGGAGCGGCGAGCAGGCTTGACCCTCAAAATAGGTCACTGTCAGTCGGCGGGCGCCAGGATAAAAAAAACGTCAAACTTGACCGTGATACCAGTATAATGGGGGTGGCCCCGTACGGTGGGGTAGTGAAGAGGGCGGGGAGTATCATGGCAAAAGATTTCGGGGGGTAGAAGTCCGGGGGCTGGGCGGAAATTTAGTTCCGGGGAATGTTGGGGGGTGGGTGATCCGGGGAAAAGATTCGGTTTACTTGGAATGAGGGTGTGCGGGGTTTGAAGTTCCCTGCGGAGGGAGAGGAAGGAGAGGACGAGGAGACTTGGAACGATCATGCACACGCCCTCGAACGCTCATCACTGTTATGACGATGAAGTCTCTGACTGATGTATGTGCTGACTTCTGCTCCTTTGTCTTGTGTTCCAGTCTTTCGTCGAGTATTCCTGCTCCGACAGTTTGCGACCTCTACGGAGTACGATCAAGGTGTTGGAGTCCGTCTCTGCGCCCCTTGTGAGAGGAGGGTGTGTAGCTTCTGTTATGTTCAAGTTCTGCTGTCAGGCACGATGGAGCCATGGATATCACCCATCTGAATGACCGTGACAAGAATTCTTCACGTTGCAATCAGCATTTGGATGGAATGAGGTCAGTTTGATTTGACTTCTTTCTTGACCTGCACTGATTGCAAAGGAAGTTCCTTGCCAGAAGAAGAGCTGAAAGAGACTGAAACTGACTCCATAAGATACATAACTCCTCGTGCATCTTTTGAAGTCTCTCGGAGTTTTGACCTCAAACGAACTTCAAGCGACCAATCTCAGCATAAGTTGAGGACGACAGAGAGCAAGATCGAGAGGAGCTCCGATGGCCTGCTCTCGTTTGCGACTCTCCTTAAGGCGAAGCAAGCTCAGATAAAGAGGAAGATCAGGCAGTCAAAACATGATCATGTGTGCACTATCGATCACTGGCGGTTTTGTCACGAATTCGCTGAGGAAGGGAGGGTAAAGCTCGCTGCGGCCAGGGAGATGATGAAGGAAAGACTAGAATCAGTGTGCTGCCATCAATGCGATGGGCTGGAAAGTGAAGGTCAGAAAGGCTATAGAGCACGGAGAGCAGGCACAAAACAATCAGGGCGTGTTCGAGCAGGGTACAACAACCTTGCCGTGATGGCGCCCCTGCCAGTGAGCAGTGCATCTTCCGTGGAGGATGAGGGAGACCATAGTGAAGCTTCTGACTGGCTTCACGTTTACGGATCCGATGAGGTAAGAGAAACGCTCCTAGCTCTTGTGCTGACATGCTCGACCGGGCGTGCAGCACGTGCTCAAGGCGCTGCGAGAGGTGTTGCACGTCAGCACCGAGGACGTTGCGATTGTGCTGGAGGGGAACGTGGGGCCTCAGGTAGTGAGGGACATGCTGAGCACGCACAGGATTGACTTGGAGGCGATGGCGAACAGGCGAAATTCGTGGAGGGCACGAGGGAGGAGCTGGACTATCTGTTCATAGTTGCCCACGAGCTCAGGCTAGAGCCTTCCACGCCCTCCATCTCGGAGGAGACGTCGGCGTCGGACGAGCTACAGCTGATCGAGATCCAGGTTGGAGAGGGAGAGTGAGGAGGAGGAGGAGAGGGAGGAGGCGGAGGAGGAGGCGGTGGAGGGTGACGTGTCATGGTGCAGCTGTCGCTCTTCTTCTTCCCTGAACTGCGGCTACTGGTGACCTTCGGGGACACAAACTGCGAGAACGCCATCACGGAGGTAGAAGACTTGCTGCCTCCTCCTACTGTCTTCTTCCTCTCCTCCCTCCTCCCTGCCTTCCCCACCTTCCTCCTCCTCGCTCAGAGTAAGCGCCATGTCAAGGCCGCCCAAGCGAACCTGCGCAACAGGAGATCTCTGCTCCGCAGGGACTGCAAGGTGAAGCGAGAGAAGCGCTCAGAAGCTGTGGAGTGTTGAAGGGGCGACAGGAGCGGCGAGGGATTCCAACGCTCATCGTCGTCCTGCTTGATGCGATTCTTGACCAGGTAGCAGCTGCCTTGAGGCTCGAGGAGCTGGGGGTGACGCAGGTAGCGCAGATGTTTCCCATCCTCAACATGTACGGGGACGCCATGGAAGGGCTGGCACTGTTCGTAGCGCGGGACCCTTCGCATGAGCACGTGCAGCTGTCCAACAAGCTCAAGACCAGGGTGAGGCAGGTAAGGAAGGGAGATGAAAGAGGGAGGAGGTGCTGATGCTGTTCAAGATCCGAGCATGCACCTGGGACGCCAGGAGCCTCTTCATCGAGCTGAGTCAGGTGCATGAGCGAGCGAGCCCGATGGCTTCTGCTCACCTGTGCCCAGGACATGTGCGGGTGCCTGGAGAGCTCAGAGCGTTTCGACACGTTGATACAGAGGTGGCTGAAGGACCTGAGGAGGGAGGGGGTAGAGCAGGGACTGACGATAGGGGACAGCACGATGCAGATAGAGAAAGAGGCGCAGTCTCTGATTGACCTCTGTGTCGGGATAGAGACCTTCTACACGTCTTTCCAGGTTCGCCGAGAGGAGGAGGATGTTGGCGGTGGCGAGAAGTTTGGCCAATGGCGATGCTGCAGAATGCCAGGATGAACAAGACCCTGTATGCTCTGACAGTAGCAACAATCTGCATGATGCCCTTTCAGTGCTTGACCGGTACCAAGACACAAGGAGAGGTTGTAGAGTTTGACGGGAGCCTGACAGGCTTGTTCGGGATGAACTTCAAGAACATGCCCGAGCTCGAATGGGATCACGGATACTTGATGTTTTGGTGCATTGCGGGTTTGCAGATAACGTTAGCGGGTGAGGGAGGAAGAGAAAGAGAGCGCGAGCGAGTGACGTCCCGCAGTTTGTATTTTGATCTACTCCCAAAGAACGGGACACAGCGGGCCCGTGATAGTGCTGGACGAGCAGCGGCTTGTGGGAGGGGATGGAAGGTAAGGCCTCGGAGACGGATGAGCGTGCGGATGTGTTTGTGTTGCAACCTCGTCCTGTATGTCTTCCCTTCCTTCAGTTCGTGATGACCGTCGACCCTCTGCTGTCTCACCATGATGCCCTTGTGTCTTGACCTTGTCTGTCGATCATCAATGCCAGCATGCTGCTGATGCTGCTGAGCTTGCAGGCCGCGGGTGGGGATGAGCGGTAGCAAGGAAGGAGAGTCCTCGTTCCTGGGGCTGAGGATCGAGCCTCTTGCGCGGATCATGTCGGGCAAGAGTGCCATCTTTAGGACGGGGAGAGTAGAGTCGGTGGGTTGACGGGAGGAGCTGCGAGGGAGTGGGATGAACCGCAACAAAGGCTGAAGGCTCAGTAGTCGATGAGGTGTCGAGCAAGTGGAGGATGGAGGGGGATGAAAATGATGAAAGAGGAATGAAGATGATGAAGATGCTAACCGCTGAGCTATCGTTGCAGCATGAAGCATCATCGCGGCATGTACCACCTTGATGCCCCTTGCAACCCTCCGATCGAGTCTCCTTCCTCTTGCTCCTCGTCTACTTGGGCCCAGCTCGCGTCCCGCCTGTGAGCCTTATCCGCCAAGTCTCGCTCCTCTTTCACTCTCACCGCCCTCCCTGGGCGGTTAGGCTGAACCGAGCTCGATACTGCCGGAACAGTCGAGCACGTACACGACCAGAGGCAGGTCGCATTACTCCACCTCATCCGATTCCGCCCGGCAGTCCAACTTGCTCTACAGCGAAGGCGGGAGAGCAGGAGGCCGCTCGTCTCCCAGCTGTAGCTGTGCTGGGGAATCTTGACGGGTGAACCACACCACCTCCGCCTCCGCCCTCTGCCCTCTTATTGTGTCAGCTCTTCCTATCGCCTAGCCCACCGCCCCCCCCTCGCGCTCCATCCTCCTCACAGTCGTCTTGCTTACCCCGGCGCACGCGTGCCCGTACTCGACACCTCCTCCTCCTCCTCCTCCTCTTCGACCATGAGGTCGCCCAACTCCCCCTGCCGCACGTGGAAGACCTTAAGAGAGGTTCGGGAAGCTAGAGCGACGGGGCTTACCGGTGGTGTAGAAAGGGGTCAAGAATGGGACATGGGAGAGAGAAGGAAGCTCGTGGTGGACGATACGCTCTCGTGAGGAGACAAGAAGCGTTGGTCTGCGGCATGTGATGACGAGACCGGGCAGGTAATGGTGACGTCGCAGGTCGGGATCAAGGTCGGCGGAAGAGGTCCGCGCCATGCGGAGGAGGAGCAGTTGAGAGGGTTGGAGGACAGGTCAAGGACGGTGAGGCTGAGAGGGGATAGACATCAGATTGTTGTTCTGAATCTCGAGGAATTGAAGCTGTTTGAGAGGGGTCGAAAGGCCGAGCGGGAGGATTGACGTGCAAACGGCCGTTACTCAGCACCGAGATTATTCGTTACATGCTGCCAAGACTCGACGATCTCGACAAGCTATCATCGGCAGCGAACGCGCGGCAGCGGGAAGAACTGAAACATTTTGGATCCAAGGGAGACAGTGACTGATACCCGAGTATCTTAGTCTTCCCAGAGAGCCGCCAGCAGGTTCAAGTCTTTGAAAAAATGGGCCCGAGCCACTGCTGGGAGCCTCGAAAGATGCTGAGAGAGCGTTTCGGGTAGTCTAGAGTTGCTAATTGTTGGAAGGACCATCGCACTTCGGGCTGCAAAGAAGCTATCTCCTACTCGTTTGCTGCTGCAGCTGCTGAACGCGCTTGAGATCGGCGATGGCGATTCCAGTTGCAGCTGAGGAAACGCGGATCAGCCTTGCAGGACAAGAAGATCGCAGAGACCTGTGTTGATGGAGGGCCCCTGCAGCCCTTGATCCCACTTGCTCCGCTTCCTCCCCTGCGCATCCGCTGCACGTGCGTAAGCTACTTGGTCCTCCACTGGCCACAAGATCTCCTCCACCGCTCACCTCCCGCCGCAATCGCGTCTAGCCCCATACCTCCACCCGCCGCTGCAAGCTGCACGAGAGGTCTCTTAGCATCAGGTAGCTGGACTCCTCCGCTGTCAAAGTCTACTCTCGTCCTCGTCGCTAACTGCGGGCTAAGAATTACCTATCCTCCTTCACAGCATCTGCCTCTGCATTGCACAAGCTCTCCAGCACAATCTCTCACCTTCATCTCCTCCTTGATCGCCGCCTGCCTCCTCAAGCTGTCGTAGAACATGTTGGGGGAGTATCCCGCGGGGTCGAAGAGCTCCTTCGGATAGTTGCTGCCGTATCCGTCGATGTTGTAGGTTGCCATGAGAACCTCGAGGATCCCGGGGTTGTGAAACTCTTTCTTGTCATACAGGTCAGCATTAACCTGTCATACACATCACAAGAACCAGGTTGTTCCTCCTCGCATCACCTTTCTATCCTTTTCACGTAGTCTCGTGTACTTGTTCACGTTCTCGATCAACTTCGGCTCTATCTCTGTGGTCGGTGCGGGCGGAAGTTCAACTTGCGGCATCTGTTCGCTGACGAGCATCGGAGTCGAGCACCTCTCTGCTGTTTCAGGCGATGACGCGTCGGAGGGAACGATCCCGCCGGGGCTGCCGACGATAGGAGTCGAGCTCTTCGATATTGCACGGACAGCAGGGTTCCTGGGCTTGCGCGAGCTCTCATCCGAGTCCTTAGCTGCTCCGAGCTGCTCAGAGAGCTGTTCTGCAAGAGATGTGTGCGGTTTGTCGATGGACATCTCTGCACTATCGTCTGCATGCACGTATCCCACAATGTTCGACAGGCTGTCCGCTGCGGCGGGGGCTTCTGCATTTCCGCCCTCTGCCTGCTGGCCCTCCTCCAAAGATTCGTCGCTGTCACCTCCGTAGCTCCCGAGCAGATCCATGGCCTCTAAGGCTCTTCCAAACTTCACTGTCTCCTTGCACCTTTCCTTCCCTGCAGCAGGGAATCAAAATCAGGATCATCAGTGTTTAAGGTACATTTGACGGCCTTCACTGGCTCATTGCGTATCGCGTAGATAGACTTTTCTCTTTCACTTTCCTGGTCTTGCTATCCCATCCCCAGATGAGCATGCTCTCCCCGCTCCCTCCTCTACCGCCTTTAACGGCACACTGGACAGCGAACATTCCTCCCTACCACACGCACAGAAATTCTTGAGAAGTTTCCTCCCTGATGGCAAGTATGCCCAGCTCCTGTCTCCCTCCCTTCGCATCTCCCATTCAACTATCGTTTCCTTCCTTCCTGCCTGCCTGCCTGCCTGCCTGCCTGCCTGCCTGCCTTCGCGCTTGTAGCTTGCCTGTGCTATCCCCGCACTCTCCATGTTTTCGGCCAAGGTGTCAACAGTGGTGCATACTTGCACAGCACCGGTAGTTTGAACGGATATTTGAGGCTAATTTGACCCCTTCATCGATACCCCCACCCACTTTTTGCATTCAAAGGGTTCTGTGTTACAGTACCCCTCCTTTCTCGCACGTTTGAACGAGCCCCTGATGGTGGTCAGGGCACCGTAGAAAATGGCGGATTGGGGTGCATGTTGTGCAGCATGAGAGGGAGCGGAGGGAGGAGGAGGCGGAGGACGACAGTGGGAATATGAGGAAGAGGAATATATCTCTATGAGAGAAAACATGACCATGGCAGTTTTCAACCAGCTTGAACGGGTCGAGGTGGAATAAGGCGGTGAAAGCTAACTCTGTTGACCATGCTAACCAGTGTAAATGTCCGAACCATCTTGCTGTTTCTTTGGTTCGCCTCGATCCCATGCTCAACAATGGGAGGAGAGCAAACCACTTGTTCTATCGTGCATTCGCTCCCTCAGCAAACGATTAGAGCGATGGCGACGAGGTTTCCAACTCTCCGAGGTGGGAAGAAGAATGAGAAGGCGAGCGGCAGTAGCAGCGAAGAAGACCCCTCCTTCAAGGCGTCACAGGACGAGATCATGAACGACTCTTCTGATGAGGAGAGCGACGTCGACCTGCCAAGTGAGGAGCTGGAGAGCTCGTCCGTCTTCGATGAAGCCAAGGCGAAGGAGGAGGAGAAATACCTGCCGATCGAGCTCCCGCCGAGAGTGGAGGGAGACTACAGGTCGAGGATGGGGCGGAAGTTTGGCAGGAGGAAGCCAAAAGAATTGGAAGCAGGCAACCTTGCGTGCCTGAGGAGATGAGGCAGTAACTTACCTCCTGTCAGACGAGGACGCTAGCGCTGCGGAGAATGACAGGACCGAAGGCTGGGCGCCATTTTACAACGGGGTAGAAGTGAGCTGCCTGTTTGTAGATCAGGACAGGTGAGAGAGGATGATCAATGGAGTTGATCAATGGAGTTATCGTTTCTTCTATCCTCCCTTTTGTGTCCTCCCTCCTGCTGTTTCCTCCTCTCTCGCCCCCCTCCCTCTCCCAACTGCCCTTTCTGTGTTGACTCTCCTGCCAGTGGGGTTGAGCAATGGTGCGATGGCCGAATCCTCTACACCAAGAGGTCGAGTCAGGAGGTAAAGTATCCTGCTAGCCCATCCCTCTTCCTCCGTCCCTCCTTCTCCTTCCTGCCCTCCCACCCTGAGTTGTCCTCCCTCCCTCTCCTCGCCCTATTCAGCAATGGTCCAATGACCTCTCCTTTCCCACTCCTCTGCTCTCTCCTCAGCTCGATCTGAATTTTGCGTGTAGCTGCGTATAGAATTTCAGCAAGTTCCTGAATGGGAAGCATCAAATCGAATCTACTGGCCGTCAGACGACAAGGTCCCTGCTGAAGCCTCGCCCACCTTCATGACCGAACTGGATGCAGGACATTCGGGTCAAGGAAGGACAGGAAGGGGGAAAGCATCTCAGCAATGAGGAGAGGATGATGATGAGCAGGCAGATGTTGGATGCGGTGAAACTTGGAGCTGCTGTGAGTGCAGGCAGGCGCTGGTGACTTGTCCTCAGGCACGAGACAACAACTTCTTCCTTGCGTGCAAACTTGTCTGGTTTGGCGCGGACATTCGCTACACTCAAGATTGTGAGCCCTGACTCTCTGTGATTGTGTCGAGGACTTACCGCGCTGATAGCCAAAATCTCTTTCCTGCACCTTGCAGTCCTGCACAACGATGCAAACGCGGTAGGGAGAGCAGCGCTGGAGTGAGGGGTCTGACGTGTGGTAGACGAGGTTTGCGCTTGAGAAAGGAGTCGATGTGAACGCGAAGATGAAAGACGGAAACACTCCTCTCCACCTCGCTGTGGTCCTGGGTGAGTGAATGCCAAATCAGCCAGTGTTAACAGGAGGACATGGGGGAGGGGAGGCAGTCGAGGCAGGGAAGGGGAGCCAAGAGTGGAGGAGGGGCTCTTTGGGAGAGGGAAGTGACTCAAGGAGGAGGAGGAGGAGGAGGAGGGAGGAGGGGAGGGAGGAGGGGAGGAGGAGGAGGAGGGAGGGGACGGGGGCGGGGGGGGGCGGGGGGGGAGGGAGGGAGGGAGGGAGGGAGGAGGAGGAGGAGGAGGAGGAGGAGAGAGTGAGGATGAGGAGGAGGAGGGAAAGGGTCGAGAGCGGGGAAGGAGGGACGACGGAGAGGGGAGAGGAGGAGAGAAGGTGAGAGGAGAGAGAGGAGATAGCTGGGAGCCTGTTGGGTTGATAAGAAAGAGATGAGAAGCTGGAGAGGAGAACAGGATGAGGAGAAGGAATGACGATTGGGGTTGCGTGTTGATGTAGGCTTGCCAGGTGCTGAACAAGCTGATCATGCGAGCACAAACAAAGAAGGCGACGGCTACTTCTTGACAAGGAAAAACTTGCAATCAAGTCAGAGACTGACTTGAAACCAGAAAAGCCAGACAATGAGGAATGACGATGTCAAAGTTTTGTAATGAAGGTTTTTAGGAGCTTCCAGTTTCAATTCCCAGATGAATTGTTCGCCGTCTCCTCATACTCAACCTTCCTCTGCTCTGACACATGCTCCATCCACTTCCTTATACCCTGCAACCTTGTTCATCATACCCCCACCCCCTCCTCCTCTACGCTCCTCCCCTCCTCCTTACCTTGAGAGCACTTTGCTTGCCTCACCCATCGCCTTCCCATCTCGTCGACGTCTTCTGCCGCTCCTTCTCGCCCAAGGAGAGGAATCTGTAATCACGTCACTACAAGACAACAGTATTTGTCTCCCACTCCTCCACTTGCTCCCTCACTTGTTCTTCCCTCTCCTTCTCCTGCTCCCGCTCCCGCTCCCGCTCCTCTGACTACCAGCCTCCCCCTTACCTGTTCAGGATCATACCCTCTACAAACTCCCGTCATCTGCATGCAGAGCTCCAACATTCTGCCAGGACGAGCGAGCGTAAGGGGAGGCAACAGAAGTGATGTCGAGCTTTGGGAGAAATCAAACAAGCAGAAAAACAATCTTTGACCGGTCATCTCCCTTTGGATGCATGAAGGCCTTTCCAGCCTGAAGAGATGAGAAATTCTTGTCACTTCAAGTCCACCGTGTCGTCTTTGCCTCCCATAGACCATTCTTCTCTCATACCTCCTCAAATTCAGAGAGCAGATATTGACAAGCATGCGAGATCTGTCTAGGAGGGAATGGATGATTCATGTAGTGGTTGGAATCGCAGGCTGCATCAAGCTTCTCTTCTATTTCCGATATCTGGACGCAGTCAGTTGACCATCTCCTCCCTCAGAACCTTCTTTTCATCATCATCATCACCACTACCATGATCGTCGTCGTCATCATCATCGTCGTCATCATCAACAACAACAACAATAACACGACCTCTTCTTCATCAGCACAGATAGCAACACCAACATGTGCACCTGTTCTCGCTTCGACCGTGCGTCGGACTTGACAAACACAGAGGGGTTAACAAGGAAGTTCATCGTGAGGACCATCTGCCAGCACGTGTAGCAACTTGTTTCTTGTCAAACAACCGCAGCGAACGCGGCAAAGGCTCACAGGAGATCGCTAGAAAACTTCCGGCTGCTGCCAACGGTGCGTCAACTCCCCTGCCCCACCTCCCTGCTAACTCCTTACAGCTTCGGATTCCCTCTCACTGACTCCCTCCTCTCGGCGACTGGGGCAGGTAGATTGACCATCGCAGCTCCTCTCTTGTACAAGAACGTGAAGCTCGCCTGCTCGTACATCAGATGACCTAGAGCAGGAATCTCCTCGCATCTTCCATCACCTTGTCGATGAGATGACGCCTCATCTCCTTCCTTACATCATTCCACTTGCTCCACATCTTCAGCCTCGTGCCCAACGTCGACACGTTGAGCGCAAACAGCTCGATGCTGTATGTGTGGTGACTGTCGCCCTTGGGAGGACATGGGCCGCGGTACCCGGCCGTCTGCAGGCCGATCTCGATGAGCAGGAGAGGAGGCGAAGACTTGGTTGCTCACCTGCTCAAAGTCGCTGTTTCCTTCCATGGGCAATCGAGCATCGTTGTCGACCCCGTTCCCTTGAAGGGATCTCAGTTAGGGGTTCCGAGGAGGAAACTCACCTTGGATGTCCCATCCTATCCAGTGTATTCTTTCTGTCTTCTTCGCAAGACTGCTCGTGTCCTTCATGAGCAAGACGAAGCTCTGCAGGGACAGGAGGCGTCGAGTCAGCGACAATGGGCTCCTGAAGGGGAGGCTTCACCTGAGCGCCGGGCGGCGACGACCATGAGAGCTGCGGGGAGACGTTCGGGCCGTCACAGGTGAAGTATGCTGGGATCTCAGAGTTATGATGGAAGTACTTGCTGGAGATGGTCATGTTGGAGGGCGAAAGCTGTCGTTTGCCATGGGCCAAGGACGCCAAGGAAGCGATGAGCAGGAGGCAGCTTCGAGCGAAAGACATTCCCGGACAAGCTTGCACGTGACGACGTGATGAGCTGCTGAGCGCGTTCGAAAGTTTTTGCTGTCCTGTCACTCCCTGCCTCTCCTCTTCCTCCTCTTCCTCTCCCTCCTCGTTCACTTCATCCCCGAAGATCGCTTCGAACTTTCGTGGACATTCCTTTCCATTCTCCGATGAACCGCCCCCCGCCTCAGAAGCATCGCCTCTTTTATGACCTCGCCTCAGACCTCAAACCTGCACCGAACCTGGATCCTTCTCCTGCTCCAGCGCCACCTCCACCCCCTTCACCGTCTTCTCCTCCATCCTCCTCCTCCTCCTCCTCATTCGTGCATCTCTCACCTGCCTCACTCGCTCTCACGTTTCCTGCCCCTCGTCATCCTCATAAACACTTCTTTTCCGGCCGCTTGATTCTCCTCCCTCCCACCCACGTCTCCTCCTCCCTCACCTGCTTCCCCCTCACATCTCAACCCTCCTGAGCGACGCTTACCTGCATGAAATCATGAACAAGAGCGAGAAAGGAGCTCCGCATGGAGCCAAGGCTGCGGAGGTCTACGGCATTGTGGGGTACCTCTCAAGTTTGTTTTCCTTCGGTGAGGGGTAGAGAGGGTCTTGTATGCTCGCGCTGACATGCAGCCCTGCAGCCCTGTGGATCATCTGGGCCTACACCCCTGACTGGGTTCTTCGCAGCATGGGCATCACTTACTATCCCGACAGGTGAAGTCAGGAGACGCTTGCGATGCCTCTTCTGCTCCTGCTTGTTCGTTCCCTTCCCTCCCCCCCCCCCCCCTAGCCTCTCTCGCTGTATCGACTCACGCGCCCTCCTTGGCTCCAGATATTGGGCGGTTGCGCTGCCTACCTGGTTCATATTTCTCGTCATCTATATCGTCATCGTCTACAATGCCTGGAACATCATCAACACCAATCGTTTCGAATCATACTACACCATCCGAGGTGAAACGCGCACACTCTTCGCTCCCTGCCTGACCATGGATGTCGTGCAGACACGATTGAAGTGCCCAAGACGACGAACGAGAAAGAGATCCAATCCTTTCACACAACTCAATCGATAGCTCCTGCTGACGATATTCCCATATCGCAGATCAACCGTATTCTTTTCTGTTCTACTCAACACCCACAGTAATGCACGTGATGGATGATGATTTTCACACATGAAAGAGAACAAGTCCTTGACATCGTCTGTTTTCACAGAGTTTAAACTAAATGTTTCAAATAATAAAGATTTTTCGTTTGATCTTGCTCTTTTCGGCTATTTCTTTTCCTCCTCGCCTGGATCGGCTTCAGTCTTCTTCTCAGCCTCTTCCTGTTTTTCCACCGGCTCCTCCTTCGCTTGTTCAGGAGCAGCAGCTGATTTTCCAGCGCTATCATCGGTATGTTTCTCCTTCGCTTCGCTCCTCGCCTTCTCCGCCAGCTCCTTGGCAAGCCTCGCCTTCTTCTCTGCCTCTGCCTGCAGCCTCTCTGCCTCTGCCTTCGCCTGCTTCGCTTCTGCTTCTGCCCTGGCAATCAGCCGTTCAGCCTCCTCCTTCGCTTGCCGCTCCTTCCGCTCAGCCTCAGCCTTGAGCTTCGCCTCTCTCTTCTCCTTGGCCTCAAGTTCTCGGAGAAGCTTGTCCTCCTCTGCCTTCTTCAACTTCATTTGTCGCAGCTGTTCTACTTTAAGCTTCTTTTCCAAGGCCTCGATGTCTCTTCCTCGCTTCTCAGCAAACGCCTGCGTGTCTTTCTCGATGGAAGCTTTCCACTTGGCCATCTCCCGTTCTTCTTTTGCTTCCAGGTGCCCGTTCAGCGCTTCATCGTACTTCTTCAGCTCAGCACAAATGGACTCCATCTCCTTTCTAATTTTGTCGACTGCAGTCAGCGAGCTGTCCAACTGTCCCAGCTCTTCGTTCAAGACGCTCCATGAATCATTCTCCTTCTCACAAGTATCAGAGAGCTGCTTCACTGCCTGATCTTGCGCCTAGCAATCGCAATCAGTACAATCGTTCATGCTTACTGGATCAATCATCTCACAGAAATCTTGCTTGCCATGTTTGCTCCATTCTGCACAATCTGATTCCACAAGCGCTCCTGACTGAACTAGAAGTCAACAGCAGCGGCAACATCACACTCGAAGTTCTTACTTGGCAATGACCTTGGTGCCCGGGTAAGTTGGCTCAGCCTCCTTGATAGGAGGAGGAGCAGCTGTCTGTATCCCCTGGTACTGCTCCTGTACCTGCTTCACCATGGCGACTGAGCGCGAGTAGAGATCCTTGAAGTTCAGCATGGCGCGCTGACGTGGGGAAGGATCGAAACCACGACAGCTCTTTACTCAACTATTGCATTGATATGTACCCCTGCCTTGTACTAATTATTGCTATCAGATGCAGGGGTGCTCGAGATTTTGGCAGTGCCCGATCGAACTTCAGTGCCGGGCGGCTTGCCAAGTTCAGACCGTGCGGCGCCCGGCCTGGCACAGTAAACACGGGCCTCCATCCGATTCAACTTCGGAGACTGCTATCGCCGAGCTCGGCGAACAAAAGTAGAGTAGCGCGTGATTTTTTAATAATACAGGTACAGAAGAAGAATAGATGTAGTGTACATGAACATGACTTGCCAATCGAATCAGTGATGTCAAACAACCTTCTGCAGAGTCTCGTAGATTACGAGGGTGATAGCCATTCCTGGAGCCAACCTCATTACACGAGGACCCACTCCGCTGAGGAAGGAGTGCCAACCCTCCTCCACAACCATGCTCAGAGCTGTTGACTTGATACAGCCGCTGTTAGCGTCGTCGTTGGTGGAGAAGGCAGCGACGAGCCTGGGGTGTGACTGAACACTGCTGGACGCAAGGCTCTTTCCGATGTTGGTTTGAATCCTCGTCTTGATCACATCGGCCGGGGTTGTGACGCAGGAAGCAAACATGCCAGCAAGCAGCCCAGCCATTGTCATGGAGATTGATTCGTAGGCCGGAAGGTTGCAGGCAGCCATCACTGGAACAACCAGTCAGTTGTGATGAACGACATGACAAAAAGACTCACTCTGTGTCACCAAGACTTTCATGTTGCAATACATCGGGAAGTAGATGCCAGCAAAAGGAATGTCACGCAACCACGTTGCTTGATATCCTGCGAACAATCCCAACAGTCCTGTTGGAACAAACCCCACGTCAGCTGCTCATGAAAAAGAGCTCAGGAAAGGATTTTACCTAGGGACTTCACGTTGGTGATCAGACATCGCTGGTCACTACTTGCTGCCCTTATCCGCAGCACCTCCATAGGATTTGTAGCAATGAGTGTTGACGCTCCTGCAATCCCTCCTGCGATGATCTGTAGAGTGAGCGGGAGCTGTGCCTCTGAAGACGCATCCTGGCTCATCCCATGGAGCAGGAAGGCAATCAGCCATGAATGGCAGGCAAGTTGGATCGCAGACTCCGGCGCGCTGCCCATCAGAACAGGCAAGGATCCTGACCATAGTCCATGAACACCTTCCTCCTTCACGATCGACGAAACGGTAGAAAAGAATCCCCCATACTTCTGCTTGTCTGCCTGATCCTTGGCGTTTTGCATCTTCGTCTTGGCAAGATCAACAGGAAACACGACGATATTCGAAATCGTTCCTGCGAGTCCTCCGATAAAAAGGTCTTTTACGAAAGGATCCATCACCATGCTTGGGCTGCATTCTCGTCCTCTAGTCCTACGGTCCGATGGCTTTCCAAGTTTCACCCACTTCTGATGTGCAGGTCCGTTCTCGAGGGAAAGAGAAGCTAGATCCCTGTGCAGTAGGCTGTTGTGGGAGGGAGATACAACGCTGAGAGCGGGGGAGGGGAGAATGAACGAATCTGCATGCGGGAGCAGCATCAGAAGAGCTGCGCATGCCGCTCTCGTCGCCATATGTACGTACTGGGAAGTCAGGAGGGCGCACCCCATCATATAACACAGACCGGGGTAGTGGTGTTTTAGAGGGGGTACATCGAATGAGGGGTGCTGGGGTTCCAAGAAGGTTTGTCAGAATTGGGCAATATGGGGGTACTTCTTTGGATTTGAAGGGGTGATCAAAGACCAGCACCGGTGTATTCTCGTATAGTTCGATTAAATCCAGGGAGCTGAAGGGGTTAAGTGACGGTAGGGTAGGGTCGTCAAACATATGTTGCGGCCAAAGGAGTTTGCCGAAATCAGGGGTACGGTTGAATTGGGTAGGGTGGTCTTTGTTATTACCCCACAAATTGTGGGGTGTATTGCAAGAGGGAGCTCTCCAATTGTGGGTGGGGTAGTGGCGAAATAAGGGTGGATTGAGTCATTCTGTACTTGAGGTGGGGTACTGTCATCCTATGGACCAACAAGGGATGGTAAATCGCAACGATTGGGGGAGAGGAGAGGCATAACGGATCAAGTGAGCCAAATAACGGAAACCAACGGTTCCGTTGTAATTGGAAGGTCACTAGTTTGTGGCTCACCACCAGTCACAAGCAACTGCCGGTTCACCTTCGCATCCGGTCAAGTAAGGGGAGCCGGGGCCGGGCCGGGCGTTGTCGGTTCAACCGCCGCCGGTCACCGTGCCGGGGCCCGCTCACCCGTCACACTGAGCCAACCGGCGGCGGCTTGACTCAGCGGACGCGCCCCCTGGCTCGGTTACTGCGGGCTTAGCGGCTGGCAATCGTTGAGCTCACGGTTCGATCGCGGGGGATTACGACACTTTAGACATCTAGTTTACTTGTCACAGAGTCACATTATGTTACAGGGCAGCTTGATGAGGGCTGAGCGGCCGATCAAAAAGTTTGAAAGCTCACGGAGAAAGTGACAGGGAGGGTGACACCAGGGACGCAGGCAACGGCAACGTAGTAGACAGAACCTGGGACGAGGATCGCCTAAAGCAAGCAGCTCAAGTCAACGGAAGAAGTCTTGCTGAGCTGACTTCATGTACCTCAACGCTGGTTCTCCCTTGATACGAGGCCTGTCCCAGACTCCCCTGATCGCTACTGAAAGGACTATCGCAAGGCCATGCGCAACTGCCAGAGCAAGGAGAGCGTGAGAAGAGTAGGAGAGGTGAAGGAGGGTCAGCATTCTCAAGTATGATCCAGCAGCATCGTCCTACCTCGATGCTGCTGCCGCCGTCCAGTTCCCAGTGAAAGTTCCGTTGCAAGTGCCTGCCTTCGAGTCAAACACCCTCGTCCTGCCTTCCTCTGCCTTTCTCACAGTTGGGGCTCAAGGTCGGCTGCACACAGTCGATGTTCTTTTGCACCGAGCAAGTTGTCAAAGTGCGAGCACTCGTCGATGGCTCGGACCTCTGGCAACGAGCACTCGATCATCAACCACAGGAGGACGGAGAAGGGAAAGAGGAAGAAGGGCAAGGGGAGGAAGAAATGGGTGACAAAGGGGAAGAGGAGTAGTAACAGAGATTGGAAGAGGGGAAGGAGAGGAGGGGGTTCAGGCAGCCGCGGCAGAGAGCAGAAAAAACCTGCACGTAGATAGCCAACGGCGGAGTGAAAGCAGCAACGCTTGCTACGGAGAGTTTGGTGACAATGATGACACGGTTCTGAAGTCCGTCTGCCAACAACCGATAGAAGGCGTAGCCTCCTTGTGCAGTGATCCTGCCGGCAAAGTCACTGAGACGCTCGGAGCGACAGGTCGTCTCCTTCCCACCTTCCCCCATAGTTGTTGCCGATCTTGACGGTCGGAGCCGTCACCTCGATCTGACAGAGCAGCTGTACCCGCACACAGATCACTTGCGTCCCACCACATGGCGGGAAAGGATAGGAGGAGAAGAAGAGAAGAGAAGATAGGAAGAAGAAAGGATATGGATATGGAGAAAGGGCGGCAGAAGAGGACAGCAGGAGGGAAAAAGAGAGCAGGCCCGTACCTGGAAGGAACACGGCTCAGAACCGAAGACTGACAGGTAGTAGATTCCAGCAGCGAACCCTGGGTCCGTCGGGCGAGCAATGATCTGCGCACTAGCCTGCACAGGGTCAGGAGAGGAGGAGCGATCCGAGGGTCGACCTGTCCTCCTGGGTACTGAGCATCCGTTCTCCACTGAGGACAGGGGGCAATCAGGGAGTTGTCAGCCCTTTCACAGGCTTCACCTGAAGATTCGACGGGCGCGAGCGGTCGGGGAAGGAGTCGTTGGTTGAGAGGAACAGGAGGACCTTGCCGACTGAGCAGTTGACTTGACATCGAAGCTCGGACTGAGAGCTGGGGAGAGTGAAGGCGAAGTAGACGGATCTACCCTGTGGGACTTCGCCACTTACCTGACGTGGCACGTCAGGAACGCAAGGAGCGGGCAGGTTGCCAGCAAGAGACCTCATTGCCAAGAGAAGTCCATGTGACGTTCTTGCTCGTGACGTTGCGCGAAGAGTTTGTTGAGTTTGACTGGTACACGTTGAGGAGGTTGATTCTAGGAGGGACGAAGAGGCTCTGGAGGCTGGGAGGAGGGGTCACGCTGGACGCTGCAGATATGCTGAACGCTGTTGTTGCGTTCTGGATCGTTGCCGACTGAAGAGGAGAAGACTTTGTCACTGTGAGCAAACGAGGAGGTTCATCACTCACGGTGATCGAGATGTAGTAGTTTGCGCCAACTCTCGGTTGGTTGATGGCGATGAGCTGAACTTGCTCACAAGACAGAGGACTAGGACCGACTGCTGGAGGCAACACGTTGACCGAGGCGTTGACGAGGTTTCCCTGACAAGCCCGTGAGGAGGAAAGGGATCGATCGCATGCAGACCTGCGGGTACGGCTTGTCGATGGTGACCCATAGCACCAGGTTGTCACATGCACTCTGGTTCGAGGCTCCTGTATTGACAAGGGCTGCGCTGAAGCTCGTGGTGCTCCTGGTCCTAAAGGCGATCATATAGTAGGGATTGATCGGCCTCAATCTGAATCTTCTGAGCTGTTTGCAAGCGCCGTCCTGGCACACGTACTCCGAGGCTGAGCGCAGGATCAGTGAAGGCTGTCCTTTCCTGACCCTAGTCCCTCTCCCTTTGGATCAGTTCGTTGTCAACCGCTATGTACTCTCTTCCATACTCCTTGGGAGCCAACTATGAAATAGCGAGCAATATACTTGTAAACATCTATCATCTCGCTCTTCTCCATCCTTTCCCTCCTGATCCTCTTCCCACTTTTCGTCCTGCTTCTGCTCCTGCTCCTGCTCCTGCTCCTGCTCCTGCTCCTGCTCCTTCTCCACATCAAATCTAAGAAATATGCATCACCGCAGTCAGCATCTTGAGAGCAGTTGGGCCCGGTGGACAATGTTGATCCATAGCTTCTGCCAAACTGAATCTGATCAAGACATGTCAAGCCGAGCAATTTGTCTAGTGATGACCTACCTCTCTCGCCACCTGCTCAACAGTGACATTGATGTCAAAAGTTGCATTCTGTCTCCCAAAGACGGCAAGATGGTAAGATCCAATCAGGAAGAGAGGGTCCTCATAACCAACTGCGTCAAGAACAATCACTGACGACAACCTGCGACATGTTTCTCTTACTCTGAATCCTGTGAACGTTCCCTCCCAGGTTGATCCAGTCAGATCTCCACTGGACGTCAGCTGGGGTTCCCAAGTTGGGAAATTCTCGAGTGTTTGACACCAGCACGTCAGTTTCGCCGGTGAGTGTCAACACCTGGGAGCAGGGCAAGTCAAAGGGATCGACAGGCTCCCGTTGTATCGACCTCAATGGTGACATCTGCCATCATGTCGTTGACCAGGAAGGAGAAGAAGGTATACATCCTTTCAAAGACACTTCCCCGCTCAGGGACGGAGGATTGGAGCCGGCGGAAGCTCTGGTTGAAAGTCGCTCCTGTCTCTACGTGCAGCAGGATTGAATCCGGTTGGGACAGAACCTGTCAGCCACAGTGAGGCTCTGCTTCCTCCTCCTCCTACTTGTCAGTCCCTCTCTCCGCTCCCTCTTCACAATCATGATGGCTAACAGCACGGGAACCCGCACGCGAACGAGAACGAGAATCGCCATCATCATACATCCACCTACTTTCCATCCTCCTCCTCCTCCTCCTCCTCCTCCTCCTCCTGGTCGTCATCACCTCGAAGGGAGAGCCTCGAATGTGAACTCCCTGAGTCTGCACGCTCATCTGGTACCTCCCCGTCCCTGTGAGAGTGTAGGACACGAAATAATTGCCATCGCCCAGGTCGAAGACAAAGGTCGGGACGCTGCTGGAAACTTCCGCTGCCTGGCAGCTTGTCGCCTGTGGGCTGGCAGCACAGGACCCCTGGGAGGTGGTCAGCGAGACTGGCAGCAGCGTGCAAGGATGTGAGGACATTGTAGCAGGAGGTAAAGGTGACGTTGAAAGTGTCTCCCCCTGTGCTTCTAAGGTTGCCGTACTTGTCCTTGGTGCGGATGTAGAAGGAGGACGGGATTCCTGCCAGCGGCTCGTCAGGGGGGAACTTGACACCCTCTGACCACCGGCAAGACCGATGGAGATCCCTGGACCATGCGCCACTGACACTCTGAGAGAAGAGATAAATCAGTTGACTTACCCCCCTTCCCCCCTCCCTTCCCTCTCTCCCTGGCTCCTGCGGAGCGCTCCCTCCTCAACTCTCTCCCGCCCTTCTCTTCCGTTGCCCCCACTTCCTCCCCCCACTTTCCCTCTCGGCCCCCTTTTTTCCTTCCCCCTCCCCTCCCCCCCCCCCTCGCTCTCACTGAGGACCTCGGATAGGTCTGAATTAGGGGGAGAGGCTCGGCGCGCTTATCCGCAAGGATGGAGGGCAGCGCGTCATCGAAGGACAAGGTCTGCACCACGTGGGTGGAAACGAGGAAGCGGAGGAACGGCAGGGAGACGTTAAGGCCGTAGACCCCAACGAAGTACTCTCCTGCTGAGCTCAACCTGTACGAAAACGATCTCTGGCTGCAGAGCTGTCCTCCTGTGCACACCTATGCCAATATTACCCCTCCTCCTCCTGCTCCTCCTCCTCGTGTTTTTTGCTCCTGTTCTTTGCTCCTGTTCTTGCCCCTGCCCCTGCTCCTGCTCCTGCTCTGCCACGACCTCTTTCATTTTCTCCTGCTCCTGCTCCTGCTCCTGCTCCTGCTCCTGCCCCCCCTCTCCCTTTGCCTCATCACGGTCGCCTCCTCTTTCCCAACACATGTCAAACAGGAAGTGAAAGTTACCCGAGATCCGTTACTCCACTCGCAGTGAGGAGCGTCGTATAGGCTGATGGGTGTGCAGGTGTCGGAGACATCAGTGGGGGGGATGGAAAAGTTGCTCGAGAATAGCAGCACGTTACTCTCGTCCCACTCTGCCGTCCTGCTGTGCGTGTTGAAGTACCTGGCAATCTCCGTCAGGATCGCAGGGAGAGAAGAGAGGTGGGGGCGAGGAGGAGAGGGAGGAGGAGGATGAGGAGTGAGTGAGCGAGTGAGTGAGTGTGTGTGTGAGTGAGGCAAGGATACCAGAACTGGAAGGAAGCGATTCCCCAGGAGCGATGGAGGGCGAATTGAGAGTCTTGCGGTAGATCAGTCAGAATCTTGATCTCTGCGGTCGCCTGCTCGTGCGGTATCGTCACGTTGACCTGAACCTCCTCCTCCGGCCAGCTCGCAGCCCCGCACTGAGGAGATCCTCGGGTAGAGCCTCCGCACAGCCCGTCGAGGATCACGTCGCAAGTGAAGGTGTGGTTCCATACCTTGCAGGTGCCATCGCCGTCAGGCCCTTTCCTGCCTCCCTTTCCCCGATTGCTTTCTCTCGCTGCTCCCCCTCCCCAGCTCCCTTCGCTACTCCCCTCTTCCTTCCTGTCTGCTTTCCTCTCCTTCTCTGCTCTCCTGGCCTTCTCCTGCCCCCCCCCTCTCTGCTCCTCTCCCATTCCCCTCACATCTCCTCCATCACCTGCACACCATCCACCATCACGAAGGCCGTGCTGTTGTCCCATTCGTCGATCTTGACGAACTTGAGGACCAGGCGCAGAAGGTTATGCTTCCTCGGGATAGCAACCCTCCTCTGCAGCAGCGAAGCATGTCCCAGCAGGTGCTGGCCACCGAGGATAGTTCCCAGCTCGCCGCATGACGAGCAGTCTTTGACCCCCTCCCACCCGGACACGTTGCATCCTCCGCCTGCTCCGTAAGTTTCGTTGACTATCAGCCCTGAGGCGAGACGAGCTGGGAGGGTCGTGAGGTCGTGCGGGGCCTCGTCCTTCCTCAGGTAGACGTTGAGCTAGTCAAACGCGTCAAAGAAGTGCCAGCACGCGGAGATGAAGCAGAAGTTGCAGACACGGCAGCACAAGATCACTGTGTACCCATCCATGCAGGCAAACGGAAGGAGAGGGGGAGGAGGAAGGCGCTTGTGGGCAGATCAACGAGGAGTAAAGGAGCAAGGAGACACAAGTCTACCTGGTCCGCAGGGGAAGCATGCTCTACTGTGATGATGGTTACAGCCGTGTTCTTGCTGATGTCCGAAGCTGACAGAGACAGCCGGTAGTAGATCCATCCCCCCTCCTCCACGTTCCCGCTGTACCGCCTCCCAGGAACCATCCTCCCCACGTAGGGGACGAAGGACGAGGAAGGTACGCCGATCGCCTGAAGACCAAGAGGAGCTATCCTCCCTACCCGCGCCATGATGCTGTAGCTACTGCCCGTAAGCGCAAGCACTCCGATGTAGAACTTCCCGACACGGAACGAGGGATCAGAGCTGAAGATCGTAACCCTCGCCCAGCCCTCCTCCTGCAGGAACTCGCTGATCCAGGGGTCTGCCACGTCCCTTGAGCTGACCCCTTCCACTCCCAGCTGGGAGTCCTGCTGGGGCCACCCGGTCTTGACGGTCGGCAGCCTCTTGCCGACGAGTGCGCGGCTGGGGAATTGAGTCTTAGTGCTCGCTATCATCATGAGAGGAGCGACGAAGTGCGAGAAGGCGTGCGGGCACCCCAGCCCTGCGCACTCGAGGCGATACCACCTGGAGCTGAGGATGAGACGAGCGCGGGGATGTTGGCAAGAGCAGGAAGAAAGGAAAGTGCCGCGATTGGCAGAGAAGCGGAAATGAGAAGGAGCAACGAGAGGAGAAGGCGGAGGCGGAGAAGAAGAGCGGCAGCAATGACAAGAGGAGGGGAAGGAGGAGAGGAGCAGGGCAGGGAATCACAGGAGCAAAGGGAGTGTTGTAGCTAAGGAGCACCTTGCTTCCGGCATAATGAAGGCAAATGCTTCTCTGTACGGCCAAGGACCCAGCACTTGATCCGTGATGACCTGGGAAGAGCACGAGACAGGCCCAGCAGCGCTGTTGATGTTCTCGAGTACCCCGGAGCGGCCATGGCAAGTGCGCTGAGGGACAAGGCCGGAGTTGAGGAGCCGGAGGACATTGGTCAAGTAGTAGGAGTCAGGTGGAGCCGTGTTGGGGATGTTGACAATGCGGTTGGAAGAGAGGTCGGGGGGGTCCAGGAGGGGGAAGACGTAGTGGGGCAGCCACTGCACCCGTTGGTCGATGTTGGGCCCACCGCTCGGGAGGGTGAAGTTGGTGGAGCTTGTGTTGATGTCGACAATGAGGTCATGGGTCGGGTCAAAGACGGAAACACGGAAGAAGGAGTACGTTCCTGTCTCTTGCGAGATCCCGTGCACTGGGCTGCCAGGGTGGAGGACGGTGAAGGGCTCGACCATGGGCTCCCACGCGATCCAGCTGAGGTCGAGCGAGAGCATCCAGCCTCGTCCTCCAATGTCGTTGACACTCAAGCCACCCCGATCCACCCGGAAGACGTCGACTACGAAGCCGTCCCGGGTGACGTTGACCAGCGAGCAGGTGAAGGTGTCTTGCACAAAGCCGTTGGGGACTGGATGAGGATAGTGGAGGGCGAGGCCGACGACTAGGAAAGGAGGGCGATAGAAGCTGGGAAGGGCAGGAGAAGCCTCGGCAGCCCCAAGGGAGAATTTGACCTCATACCGCACTGATGAAGGCAGCCTGATGCCTCGCTGTCCCAGCCCCTGCCCAGCTGCCAAGAATCCTTCACCCCATCGAGTGTCTGGGTAAGAGAAGTTGTTGGCTCCTGCTGTCGTCGGCACGGGAGGTGGAAGACGCTGCGTGCCGAGTTGAGCATTTGGGAGCATGTACGGGTCAAGTTTGGCTGCCCAGTATCGACTTCCGCAGTCTGAAGAGTTCCCACTTTGCTGGAAAAACGAGGAGTTGGAGGAGTTGGAGGAGTTGGAGGAGGGGAGAGGGTATGACCAGGCGATGTAGTCGATGAAGAGTCTCGAGACAGGCCAGGAAGCATCGAGACGAACAAAACTGACGTCAAAGCCATTGGCATCGACGGATTGCACAGTAGTCGCAAACGCTGCCTGAGGACTGCCCCTCTCCACCAGCTTTACCGTCAGCACCACCTGAGGAGGGCGAGCGAAGTTGCTCCTGAAGTTGACGCGAGCATAGTTGGGCATTCCTCCCTGATACACATTCCTCACCCCCTGCGCGTTGTACTTGAGCTGCTGGTTGTTCCAATGGATCCCTCGATCGAACTCCAGCTTCTCGCTCTCATCCCCCGAGTCTTGGAGGTCCCAAGTGCCAAACTCAACAGCCACATCACCACCCGAGACGTTGTTGGCCGTCAGGCCTCCTGCTTGCTCATGGTCTCGTGCCGAGACCAAGGCGGAGTCCCATGCAATGTAGTGCAAGATCACTCGGCTCTGCCACCCGTCTGTGAAGTTGCTAGTTGACGTGTCTGTCCTGTAGAGGTTGCCCGAGAAGCTTCCTTGCCCTGCATGCCGGATCGTAACGGCCCAGGTCCCGTTGCTCGCTCTCAGCTCCTGGGGATCGGGGGAGTTTGGGAAACCGTTGAAGCTGATGACGACGCTGGGAGAGTTGATGAAGGGCCTTGAGAACGTGTGTCGGAACGAGGAGGACGGGGCGACTCTTGAAGGGAGGACGACGACTTCTCCCGTCTGCAGACGAGGGAACGACCGACGAATGCTCTGACGCGCCGACAGATAGTCAGTCCTCCTCACACGATAGTGCTGGACTTACTTCGCATCCCGGCGGCTGTTTGATCGAGCTGGAGTATCCTTTCAGCCAGTTAAGGCAATCTGAACATCACTTGTCATGACGTCTATCCTTGTGCACGAGGCCTCTGTCAACATAACACCGTACACTTAGATATTGGCATTATGGAGCCCACCATCCACACGACCATTGTAATTCGTCAAGGTGATAAACATCGTGCTTGCTGAAAAAAACCATCATCATCTCCATCATTTTCATCATTGTCAACTCATCATCATCGTCGTCATTATTATCATAGGCTCAAATGCTGCATTCATCCCCATTGCCCGCTATACCGCCCTGGCTCTCATTCACCTGAGTCGAGGTCCAGCGATCTCGTTTCGTAGACGAGAAGCAAGAGGAGAAGTCTATCGCATGGATGTAAGAGGAGGCGACAGCAGCAGCATCAGAGAGATAGTGATATAGTGAGTGAGTGAGTGAGTGAGAGATAGAGATAGAGAGAGATGAGAGAGGGAGAGGGAGAGGGAGGGAGGGAGGGGAGGGAGGGAGAGGAGAGGAGAGAGGAGAGAAGAGGAGAGAGAGAGAGAGAGAGAGAGAGAGAGAGAGAGAGAGACG